TGACAACCCTCCCTTCTCCTCCCTTTTTCAATCTTGGAACTTTTAATATTTAAAACACACTCTCTAATTAGCCCGAGAATCCAAGTTGAGAAAATGCTTCCAGTGATGCCCTCCACTTTCCTCTGGAAATGCTGTCTTCAATCTATGACAGTGGTTCCCAACCATGAGAACTAAAATAAGGTCCATGGCTCTAGATTATTAAATATAGTTTTCTGTGGGCGAGCAGATGACGACTACTGGATGGAATATGTTCTGTATCAGAAGCTAGAGCTGATGTGGTCTATCCAATGCAATTTTCAGAATCAGCACCCCAAATAACCAAACTGAATCTAAAGTTGACCAAAAACTGATTCGTAACCCTTTTGGTATGAATGTTGGACAGTGGTCCCTGGTCAAAAAAAGGTTAGGAACCAATAATCTATGATCACAAGTTAAATTGTTTAGAATGGGTGGGCAGACCTTTCCAACCATTGGAATCTATATCTTTAGTACAGTTTTAAACATTCAGAGTTGCAAGATTAGGCAAAGGAAGACAGAGAAAAATCTCTGAGAGCTTTCCACCACTTCAGTTCTCAAGGTGGGTGATGATCAGTATATTGGGATGATTTTGATCTTTCGAATTACAGGAGCTTACTGTATTAGCATTAAAGTGCTAGAAAGTTTTCAAAGCTTAAAAACATTAAAGCAGGCTTTGAGAGGGGAAAAAAGCAAAGAGTGCAATGAAAAATGATAAAAAAGAGGGTTGAAAATAATGCAAAAAAATAAATAAATCCAGATGAGTTATTTGCAAACTGCCTCTACTCAAATTAATTAAAATCCAGATAAAATTGCAATGAGAGAGGAAGTCCTACAGAAATGCTTTAAATGAATTGAGTTATATATGGCTGGTAGCCCTTTTCAACTATACATTGGTTACTAAACAGACATCACCTGCTGTAGTTGAGCTATCACAGGCATGGACAAACTTTGGCCCTCCGGGTGTTTTGGACTTCAACTCCCCACCATTCCTTTTAATTTCTGATATAAATTTACAATCAAAGAGCATTCTGAACCCCACCAATGATGGAATTGAACCAAACTTGGCACACAGAACTCCCATGACCAACAGAAAATACTGGAGGGTTTGGTGGGCAGTGTCCTTTGGTTTTGGAGTTGTAGTTCACCTACATCCAGAGATCACTGTGGACTCAAACAATGATGGATCTGGACCAAACTCTACACAAATACTCAATATGCCCAAATGTGAACACTGTTGGAGTTTGGGGAAAATAGAATCTTGACATTTGGGAGTTGTAGTTGCTGGGATTTATAGTTCACCTACAATCACAGAGCACTCTGAACCCCACCAATGATAGAATTGGGCCAAACCTCCCACACAGAACCCCTATGTGGGCCACAGCAATGTGTGGCAGGGGACGGCTAGTAGGAAATATAAACTGACCTTGTGTTTTACTTGGGTCTCAGCTCAAATATTTTTCATTATATTCAAATATGCAAATACAAGTACAGTACAGTCTCACTTATCCAACATAAACGGGCTGGCAGAATGTTGGATAAGCAAAAATGTTGGATAATAAGGAGGGATTAAAGAAAAACATATTAAACATCTGCTTACATTATGATTTAACAAATTAAGCACCAAAAGATCATGTTTTACAACAAATCAACAGAAAAAGCAGTACAATACATGGTAACATTATGTAGTAATTACTATATTTACAAATTTAGCACCAAAACATTGCAATGTGTTGAAATAGCTGTGGATCCAGACAGGAACTTTTTGAACAGAGGGCCGGGTCACAGTCCCTCAAACTGTTGGAGGGCCGGATTATAATTTGAAAAAAAAAACATGAATGAATTCCTATCCACACCTCACATATCTTATTTGTAGTGCAAAAAACACTTTAAATAATACAATAATTAAAATGAAGAACTATTTTAACAAATATAAACTTAGCAGTTTAGAATAAATATAAACCTAGCAGTTTGAAAACATGCAAATGTGAGTAGATACCGCTCCGGCAGGAAGGTAACGGCGCTCCATGCAGTCATGCTGGCCACATGACCTTGGAGGTGTCTATGGACAACACCTGCTCTTCAGCTTAGAAATGGAGATGAGCAGCAGAGTCCCAGAGTCGGACATGACTGGATTTAAGGCCTCCCCCCCCCCCTCCTTCCTCGGGGATGCATCCAAGATGCATCCCGGAGGGAGGAGAGGCTGGGCCCACGGAGGCGACGGGCAAGGAAGACCCGGCTTGGGCTTGCTTTGTCTGTCGCCTCCCCCACCCCTCTCCTTCCTCGGGGATGCATCCAAGATGCATCCCGGAGGGAGGAGAGGCTGGGCCCACGGAGGCGACGGGCAAAGCAGGCCCAAGCCGCTTTGCCCGCCGCCCCCCCCCTTCGCCCCCCTTTCACCCTTCTCCACAGCCCGCGGGCCGGATAGATGCCCTCGGGGGGCGGATCCGGCCCGCGGGCCGTAGTTTGGGGACCCCTGCTCTACACAATATTTTTTTTCAAAATCCCAAAATAGAAACCATTAGTTCCAACCAATTCAGATTAGGGATATTCAACCTGTATCTCATTGAAGCACCACTAACTTGCTAGAACCTCAAGGGGCATGAGCCTTCTATTTCTATGATATTTCAATTTTCCACATTTCTCCTCCTGCACAGGCCCAAAGGTAACCTGCAGAGTTGGGAGGGAGATGAGAAGAACATACAAAGCCATCCCTTGGTTGTCGCTGAACATCCAACAATGACTTTAGTGGGTCATTTGAGACTCACACCACCCAAAACCATCACTTTCCTGGATCACTTAGCACTTTCCCACTGATGGCTGTTTGCCACCCTTTGAGATTAGAGTGCCATCCGGTGATGAGTCATCCAGAGGTCAGGAGATCAAGGGAAGTAGCCCTCTAGAAAGCTTTCTCTCTGGCTCTCCCCCTCAATCCGGATTTATTCATCCTACAAAAAGATGGATGTGGGGGAGAATGATATATAGGGTTTCCAAGAAATCCCATGGATCCGTCTGGAAAAGGAAGGAAAGGTCAACAGAGAGAGCAGGAGGGAGGGGTGAGAAAGAGAAAGGGAGGGAAGGGGGGGAAAGGGGGGAGGAGAGAGGGAGGGGAAGAGAGAAGGCTAGAGGGAAGGGATACGAGCAAGATACGAGGAGGGCCCTTCTACAGAGCCATATAACCCAGAATATCAAGGCAGAAAATCCAACAATATCTGCTTTGAACTGGGTTATCTGAGGCCCCTTCCACACAGCTGAATAAGATCCCACATTATTTGCTTTGAATTGGGATATACGGCAGTGTGGACACAGATAACTCAGTTATACGGCTGTATGGAAGGGCCCTGAGTCCACACTGCCATCCAGTTCAAAGCAGATAATGCAGGATATTATTCAGCTGTGTGGAAGGGGGTCAGAGAGGGAAGGGAGATAGGAAGAATGAGGGAGAAAGAGAGAATGAGGGAGGGAGGAGGAAAAGAAGGAGAAGGGGGAGAGAGGGGGGACAGAGAGGGAGAGAAAGAAGAATAGAAAGAAAGAGGGACTCAGAGAGAGAAGAAGAAGAAGAAGAAGAGGGAATGAGGGAGGAAGGAGGGAAAGAGAGAGCGAAGAAGGGAAGGAGAGAGAAAGAGAGAGAAAGAGACGGGGATGGCGATAGAAGGAGGAAGAGGGGAAAGGGATGGAGAGGAGGAGGAAGATATAGAAAGAGTTAGATATGGGAAGGAAGAGGAGGAGTGAGGGAGGAAAGCTGAGAGAAGAAGAAAGGGGGGAGAAAGGGAAAGGGGGAGACTGAAGGAGGAAGGGGGAAAGGAATTGAGAGAATGAGGGGGAGAGGTAGGAAGAGTGAGGGGGGAAGATGAGGGAAGGAGGGAGAGGGAAATAGAGATAGGGAAAGAGAAAGAGGGGGAATAGAGATTCAAGCAGGAAGAGGGGAAAAGGAATGGAGAGAAGGAGGGAGAGATGGAAAGAGAGAGAAAAAGAGGGGGAGGGAGATAGAAGGAGAAAGAGGGGGAAAGGGAAGGGAGGGAGAGATAGAAAGAGGGAGAGATGGGGAGAGAAAGAGAGGGAGGAAGAGGAGGAGTGAGGGAGAAAAGCTGAGAGAAGGAGGAAGGAGGGTGTGAGGGGGAGAGAACGAGGGGGAGGGAAGCTGAGAGGAGAGAGGGAAAGAGAGAGAAGAGAGGGGGATAGAGATTGAAGGAAGAAGAGGGGAAGGGTATGGAGAGATAGAAAGAGGGAGAGAGGGAGGAAATAGAGTAGTGAGAAGGGAGGAAGGAAGAAGGAAGAAGGAGGGAAAGAGAGAGAAAGAGAGGAGGGAGAGAAGGAAGAAGAAGGAAAAAGGGAGGAGAGGAGGGAGAGAGGAAAGAGAGAGAGAAAGAGGGGGAGGGAGAAGAAGGAGAAAAAGGGAAAAGGGGAGGGAGAGAAGGAGGGAAAGAAGAAGAGGGAGAGAGGGGAGAGAAGAGAGGGAGAAGAGGGAGGGAGGGAGGGAGGGAGGGAAGCTGAGAGGAGGGAGAGAGGGGGATAGAGACTGAAGGAAGAAGAGGGAAAGGGGATGGAGAGAAGGAGGGAGAAATAGAAAGAGGGAGAGAGGGAGGAAATGGAGGAGTGAGGAGGGGAGGGAAGCTGAGAGAAGGAAGGAGGGGGATAGAGATTGAAGGAAGAAGAGGGAAAAGGGATGGAGAGAAGGAGGGGGAGAAGGAAAGAGAGAGAAAAAGGGGAGAGAGGAGAAAGAGGGAAAAAGAGGGGGGAGGAAGAGAAGAGGAAGAGAAAGGACGGAGAGAGGGAAGAGAGGAGGAAGAGAGAGGATATGAAGGAGGAAAAGAGAGAAATGAAGCAGACAGAAGGGTCTCCCAAGCTGCCTGCCCTTGAGGCCGGCCTGCATCAGGATGCCTTTGCGAGGGACGCCCTGGCCGCCTCCGCCTGGGATGCTGGGTTCCTCCCGAAGGGAGACTGGAAAGCAAAGGRTGGTGGGGTGCCCCATATGTAGGGCTCACCTTGCGGGCTGTTTCCTGGGCTGCTCTTCTGGGGTCCCTCTCTCYCCCCGGGCCCGCCTCCTCTTCTTCCAAGGGATGGCAAGCACAGCGACAGCGTCGGGCGGGGCGGCCTCTCCTTCTCACCCAGGTACCAGCTGGGCTCCGCCTCACGTGAGCAGCCCGGCAGCAGGAAAGGAGAGGGGGGGGGGGAGAGTCGGGAGGAGCCTCCCCCTCCTGAATTAACCACTAGCCGCTGTAGGAAGACGCCGGACGCAGAGGAAGCTCTCCTCCTGGCCCTTTCGTAAGCCGGTTTGCCGAAGCTGAGCGGTAGTGGGAGGGAAGAGTGCCTCTGAGCATGTGCAGAGGGCGGCGGCGGTGTGTGTGTGTGTGTGTGTGATTGCTTTCCAAAGGAGGAGGAAAAGAGGATTCAGAGCCGCCGTCGAAAGATTTAAAGGTGCATCTACGCTGCGGAATAAATGTAGCCTGGCAATCACTTTAACTGTCATGGCTCATTGCTATTGGATCCTGGGAGTTGTAGTTTGATGAGACAGCAACACTTTGGCAGAGGCTCAAAACCTTCTCAAGCTACAACTGCCATAGCAGAGCACCCGATGAACCTACCTGGACACAGCATATTGTTTGGGAGCATAGAAATGCTGGACCACTCTCAACAACCACAAGAGACTATTATTTATTTATTTTATTTACAGTATTTATATTCCACCCTTCTCAGGGGACTCAGGTTGGATTACAATGTACATATACACGGCAAACATTCAATTCCATAGACACACAGCATATATAGACAGACAAACTGAGACTATTTAACATTCCAGCTTTTTGATGAGGGCATTCTGACCACCAGGGGAGCTGTTGCTTCACCGTCCATTTGTGACACTGATGAAGTACTTCCTCATTCTTTGCATGCTTGCTGGAGATTTTTATGGTGTCATAAATTAGTTGAATTAACCTCCCCACATACGTGGTACCTAAATTTCCTACTTGACAGCTGTAACTGTCTTTCGGGCTGCAAAGGTCCACAGCAAGCTACACAATTCCGTCGAAAGCTCACTCCGACCTGGGCTGRCTTCGAACTCATGATCTTTCGGTCAGTAGTGATCTTAATGCAGCTGACTCTCAGCCAGCTGCGCCACAGTCCTGGTGCACAGAGAAGCCATTGCAATCCASAGTGACAGATGCAACTGTCTTTCGGGCTGCAAAGGTCAACAGCAAGCTACACAATTTGGTTGGAAGCTCACTCCGACCTGGGCTGGCTTCGAACTCATGACCTTTTGGTCAGTAGTGATCTTAATGCAGCTGACTCTCAGCCAGCTGCGCCACAGTCCCGGTGCACAGAGAAGCCATTGAAATCCACAGTGACAGATGCAACTGTCTTTTGGGCTGCAAAGGTAGACAGCAAGCTACACAATTTGGTTGGAAGCTCACTCCGACCTGGGCTGGCTTCAAACTCATGACCTTTTGGTCAGTAGTGATCTTAATGCAGCTGACTCCCAGCCAGCTGTGCCACAGTCCCAGAGCACAGAGAAGCCATTGAAATCCAAAGTCCCGACTACACAGAGAAGCCATTGAAATCCACAAATTTGTGGACAATTTCAACAGAAAGGAGGAAACCATGAAAATGAAAAACATCCAGCTACCAATATTTAAAAAACTCTAAAATCAGGACAGTATATAAAGAGCAACACTAAAAAAACAAACAAACAGGGGAATTCCAGACAAGAATAAATCAGGGCCAGGTAACACCTCCAAACAAAAGATCCCCCCAGGCAGGAAGCAGCCAGACCTTGAAGCTGCAAGTCCATTCAGTGCTAACCAAGATGGCCAGCTACAACATTCACACTTGCCTCAAGCAGAGAAGAATTCTTATTCCACAGATATATAAACCTCACTTGCCTAGTTTCCAACAGATCCCTCAACTTCTGGGGGTGCCTGCCATAGATGTGGGGGAAACGTCAGGAGAGAATGCCTCTGGAATATGGCCATACAGCCCGGAAAACTCATGACAACCTACAACTGCAATGTTTCCATATCACGGAGCAGTCAGAGCACTGTCAAACCATATTGAATCTAATGTAGCTGCACTTAATTCAGTCTTATTTAAGAGACCTTAGTCACTTCTCTCAGGATGCATCTACACCAGGCCTGGGCAAGATTGGGCCTTCCAAGTGTTTTGGACTTCAACTCCCAGAATTCCTAACAGCCTCAGGCCTCTTCCTTTTCCCCCTCAGCCGCATAAGCGGCTGAGGGGGAAAAGGAAGGGGCCTGAGGCTTTTAGGAATTGTGGGAGTTGAAGTCCAAAATACCTGGAAGGTCCAAGTTTGTCCATGCCTGATCTACAGAGTAGAATTAATGCAGCATGACACCACTTTAACAGCCATAGCTCTATATTATGGGATCATGGGAGCTGCTACAAGGTCTTTTGCCTTCTCTGCCAAAAGTGCTGGTGCATCACCAAACTACAAATCTCATGATTCCAGAGCATTGGTCCAGAATTCATTCTAATTTAGAGCCAGCCCAAATTAGCATGTAAAATGCTACATAATCCTTAACAGGCTTCCTGTTATGTCCACATTCAATTCCTGCACATACATTCATACTCCCTCCACAGTCAGCATCCCCGGTTGCCAAGGATGCTCTGGCCTCACTGGGTTGCTTTTGCATCTTATCTGAAGTCTCTTTGTATTGCTGCTTGGAGCTTCTCCAAATCTGATGAGACTGCCCTCTTGTGTACGGATTCCACACAGTCCCAAGTTACAAACACCCAATTTACAAATGACTCATAGTTAAGAATGGGGGTGAGACAACAAAAAGTGAGAGAAATCTGCCCCTAGGAAGGGAAATTCACCCCTGAAAGAGTTATTATGAGGAAAGAGTCTCCATTGGAGCATATCATCAATCCTTATTTCTACAAGCCACCCTATCTTGTTCATAACTTGGGGTTGTTGTTGTTTATTCGTTCAGTTGTTTCCGACTCTTCGTGACCTCATGTACAAGCCCACGCCGGAGATCCCTATCAGCTGTGACCACCCCCAGCTCCTGCAAAGTCAAGCCAGTCTTCAAGAATAACATCCATCCATCTTGCCCTTGGTCGGCCCCTCTTCCTTTTTCCTTCCATTTCCCCTCAGCATCGTTGTGACTTCATTGACCAGTCCACGCCAGAGCTCCCTGTTGGTCGTCACCACCCCCAGCTCCTTCAAGGTCAATCCAGTCACTTCAAGGATGCCATCCATCCTACCCTTGGTCGGCCCCTCTTCCTTTTTGTTCCATTTTCCCCAGCATCATTGTCTTCTCCAAGCTTTCCTGTCTTCTCATGATGTGACCAAAGTACTTCATCTTGGCCTCTAATATCCTTCCCTCCAGTGAGCAGTCGGGCTTTAGTTCCTGGAGTATGKATTGGTTGATMTTCTTGCAGTCCAAGGCACTCTCAGAATTTTCCTCCAGCACCAGTTCAAAAGCGTCTATCTKCCTTTGCTCAGCCTTCTTTATGGTCCAGTTCTTGCATCCATAGGTTACTACAGGGCATACCATTGCTTTTACTATGCGGACCTTTGTTRTCAGTGTGATGTCTCTACTCTTCACTATTTTATCGAGAGTGGTCATTGCTCTCCTCCCAAGAAGTGAACATTGTGCTGTCGCACGCTGGGCCTGAAATGTYTGTTTACAGGACATGCTCTCTGTATGCCCAACGGGATGCCTGGGTGCCTCAGCTGAAGGGCCCTTTAGATTTCCCAACACAAAGTTCTATTGAGGCTCAAGACTTCAACAAAGTTCTTTATTTGGGCTTAAATCTTCAAACAAATGAATTAAACACTTTATAACCTTGGAAAACCGGTAGCTTCCTCAATCTGCCAACAAGGGGCAGGCAACTGGTGGTAAACTGTTCCTTTCTTCCTTAGGGAAATCCTTTGACCCCTCCCTGGGCAATCTCTCTTTACCTTGCTGGCGTGAGGCCCCTACTCTCGGCACCAAGCTGCTTTATGGATAGCCCGAGTGGTCCCTTAAAGTCCTCGATGGTTCGTAAGGGGAAGATACGTTCAGACAGTTAAGTTGGGCCAGAACCGTTTAGGACTTTATAAGCCAAAGCCAGCACTTTGAATTGGGCCCGGTAGCAAATCGGCAGCCAGTGGAGCTGGTGCAACAAGAGGGTTATATGCTCCCCGAGTGTCGCTCCTGTTAGCAACCTGGCTGCTGTTCGTTGGACTAGTTGAAGCTTCCGGACAGTTTTCTAAGGCAACCCCACGTAAAGTGTGTTGCAGTAGTCTATACGGGATGTAACCAGAGCGTGGATTACCATGGCCAAGTCAGACTTCCCAAGGTACGGGCACGGCTGGCACACAAGTTTTAAATACGGATCCCCTAGTGACATATAATTCTTATTCAAAAAAAAAAACTCCTATTCATGTGGAGGAAGCCTAAAAGGCTAATAACTTGAGCTTCCAAAGGATATGGCATGCATGAAAGAGGAAAATATGAAAAGACCGTTGAAGTACAGAGGAAGAAATTACTTAAGAAATTGTTAAAAAATAATATAATATGAAGATACCTCATTTATCAACAAGGAAATGTATGACATTTTCTCATGGGTCCCGTGCTTTCTAAGTGAGGCAAATAGAATAACCGTGGTAGAAAGCCGTTCGCAAACATTTCTTAAAATATACCATTACACCCAAATCACTCCCATTTGGACAATAGGCTTCCCAAGACATTATATTGGGCATTCCAAATGCCGCACTGCAATTAAGGTGACTGGAGTTAATATGTGATCCATTAGCTCTCCTAAACAGAAACTGGAAACCTTCAAAAGGATAATGTGAAAAAGATTCAAATTGTGAGGAGTATATACATACACTTGATCTTAGCCAAAAGGCTGAGAAGCGACCAAATTGCGAATAGGAGTCATGTAGTACTCCAGGTGTTGGACTCCAACAACATCTGGAGAGCACTGGATTCCCACCTCCTTTGTAAATTCACCTTTCAAAATCAATCCAACATGTATATTGCTGTGTTTGGCAGTAGAAGAAAATAACTTGCTTAGCTACTATTATTAAGACAATTTTAAGTGTGAAGCTGTACATCCTTTTCCTTAAGCACTACTATTCCACTAACAAAACACTAGTTATGGAGGGAATAATCAAAGGACAGGGCAGCTTAGAAGAGACTAAGCTATTTACACAGCAAGGCTAAAGTATCAAGAGGATTTGGGTACAGATTATGAGAAGTTTATTTTTGCTGGGGCAGATTAGTTTCCCAAACATCCACCCAACTCCACTCCTGATCGCAACCTCACTGATAGATTTTTCTGCTCCCTTCTATCACAGAAATACTTTAAGCTACAACCCCCCCCCCCCCAAGATCCAATACAGCATACCACTGCCAATGCCAATGCCAAATGCTTCTTTGTATAAATGAACCAAACAAATAAGTATTAAAGTACACACAAAGCAGAGGGATGTAGTGTAACATTAAGCAACAACTATCACTGGAAAAAAATTGTCCTTTTTCAAAAATAAATATTAAAATACATAACTTAAGAGTCTCATTAAAAAGCCTTTCTTAGTATGCTTTTACATTATGTGTACAAACGGTCACATTTAGTATCAAAAGTTCTCATTGTATCAAAAGTTGTCATTGTATAAAAAATACAGCAGAAATCTCCAATTGACTCCAAAATCACGAAAGCAGAAAATACTGTTTTAGAAGTCTACGTTTTGTTGAGAATTTCTTTAACGGGCTTTATAGCTCATCATGCTTAAAAACAAACTCTCTTGCAGATATAAATCCATCACGATCTTCATCTTCTTTATCAAATATGTCGTCAACCAAGAAATCATGGTGGCTGTCATTGACTGGTGCACCATGTTTTTCAAATTCATTCTTCAAATACACTTTTACCTAAGTATGAAAAACATGACAACATTTTAACCAAGTTCCAATTGAAATATTTTCAGTTAAGTGAAAGAGGTACAGCCAATAAGAAAATCGCTTTGTTGTTGAAGGGGAAGCACACCCGTCCAAGTATCTTTCTGGTTCACTGCAGAAATAGAGGCAATTAAACAAATGGGATGGAGAGTACAGTGTTCCCTCGCTACTTTGCAGTTCGCTTTTTGCGGACTCGCTGTTTCACGGGCTTTTACCTCCTGGGAGAGAGGCAGCTAATCATAAAAAAGAGAGAGAGGAGATACAAAGCAGTATGTAAATCATAGCCTCATAGCTCCTTTCTTATAACTAGCACAAAAAAAAAAGTTGCACGGTGCCTTTAAATTTCTCCTCGCTTCTGTCTCACCCTCGGAATGTGATATATATATATATATATATATATATATATATATAGAGAGAGAGAGAGAGAGAGAGAGAGAGAGAGAGAGAGAGAGAGAATTCCTACTTCGTGGATTTTCACTTTTTGTGGGTGGTCCTGGAACCTAACACCCGTGATAAGTGAGGGAACACTGTACAGAGTTGTATCGCAGACTATGAGCAAGTCTGATCCAGTATAAACTAGTGCTATTGGAAAGCGTATGGCATGGTGGATGGTGATAGGGAAGAAACAACTTCCCTGTCACCATTGTGTTTGCATCATGTTATCTAGTGGAGTTGTCCCATGTCACCTGGGACTTTTACACTCTGGTCCACAAAAAGAAAAGGCAGATTTGATAGCCCACTCTGAAGAATTTGCAATACATTTCAGGCAATACGTATCCCCTCTTATGTGGATATTACAATGGAGGCAGGGCCAGTAGATGTAATCTTGGCACCTATTTTGTCCTGTGTTATTGGATTGTGGGGAGGTTGGGTGGGATTAGGGGGGATTAGTTTTAAAAGCCATTTTAAGTGTATTTATTGTATTTTTAATTCTGTTTTTTACCACATTGTTACTATTTAATTGTTGTTTTAACGTTTGTACTGCACTTTTAAAACTTAGCTGTCTTGAATCCCCACAGGGAGAAAGGCGGGGTATAAAGTTAATAATAATAATACATTTCAATTTAAGGAGCCTGATGAAGTGGGCAGAATTCTGGCAGAGATAAGAGCAATTGCATGTGGAACTTAGCCCATCCTGGCACCTAAAGGAGAAGGGGGTTGGCCGATGGATAAAAGCAAGGAAACCTTCCATTTAAAAGATGCTGTGATGCAGCAGTTATTTTTAAAAAAACACCCCTGACTCCCATCACACTCAAAAAGTATAGGGCAATCGCAATTTCATGAATAAATCCTAGAATGTATGTGGCTTCCCAGTTCCAGGGATTCCTGGATAAAACAGATTATCCAGATCCATTCAAATCTGGCTTCAAGCACAATTATAGGATAAAGGGTACATCTACATTGTAGAATTATTGCAGCTTGACACTGCCTTAACTTCAATGGCTCAGTGCTATGGAAGCTGGAATTTGTACTTTGGTGAGGAACCGGAACAGTTTGGCGGAGAAGGCTAAAGGGCCCCTAAAACTATATCTCCCATGATTTCGTAACTATGAGTCAATGCTGTTAGTGTGGTGTCAAACAGTATTAGTTCTACAGTGCAACTGCAGCCAGAGATATTTTGGTCACATTGGTGGATGTGCCACACAAGGAATTGAACAGCATTTGCTCCTCCTCACCGCCATTTCACTCCAGAATATCCTAGATTGTCCCACTCCTTACTCTCTGCCAACAAGCAAAGACCTTTTTGAAGGCTTTTAATGTGTGACTAGTTGCATGGAGGCTCGTTATTGCATGGGGCTCGTTATTGCGCTTTTATATGCATATAATGATTTCATTCTGTTTTCAATTTAATATATAAGGGATGGGTTTAACTCAGTTTTTAAAATATATTGTTTTAGCTTATTCCTTTTGTTAACTACCTTTATGTCTACTCTGGAAGAAAGACAGCATATTAGAGAGAGACAGATAGACAACATGCTGATTTCACATAACTTAACAACTAAGCTGCTATCTGTATTAACTAAATCCTCAGACATCAGAAAATGCAAGTATCTTCTTCCCTTGCTAGCATTTTTAAATAACACTCTAAATCAGAGAAGACGTAGTTAAAAGATTATGTCCTGTTAAAATAGTAGGCTTATCTTCCTTGAGTTAATTTTTCTTCAGTATTTTCAGTAATAATTGGAGAATGCACTCTCTTTCTGGCCAGTCAAAATGGCAGGGAGACTATATACACTGGCAAATAGACCTGTTGCTGAACTATTACTCAACACTATGTCCACTTGTATCAACAACCTGTATAGCTTCTTCTGCAGCATCAGAGCTCTGACTAAGCAAAATAAAATGGAAATCTTGTTCAATTCCAGCGTTGCCTAGTTGACAATATTGCAGTGGTATATATATATTCTTTGTGAATACAGTGTAAGAGCTAAATCCTTTTCTCCTGCAAGATACATTAATCACCGTCACAGAATGCATTAGCCTATTCACCTCATCTTTGGATAGCTTCCAGTCATCATTAAGATCCATTTCTTGAAAGGACTCATGAGACCTTGGTCCATTTCTAATTTCTAAAAGGTCAATATTGAAGATCAAGGTGCTCTCTGGTGGAATTTTTCCTACCAAACATAAACAAACAACATTAAAAACATAAGAGTATATTCAGTGCTGATTTGTGTTTCCCTATTGATTTTATTTTGTTAGGTAGAGTAATCAAAAACACCACAGAAAGCCATGTAACTGACTACTTGGATCTGGATCCAATTTTAAGTCCCATTGAATAAGCTGGAACTTGGTAAGTTGCCATTATTATTATTATTATTATTATTATTATTATTATTATTATATCCCACCTTCTTCCTCCATACGGAGATTCAAAACTGCTCACAATTAAAGTATTACAATACAATTTAAAACTTACAATGCACTAATATTAAAACAGTATTAAACATGATTAATATTAAAAAAACCAATTCATGTTAAAACTATAAAAGTATATAAAACCACAGCACCCCCTGACTTAAACACCTTATCTTGAAACACCTGTCTGAATAAAAAGGTTTTAACATTCTGCCAGAAGTATGGCAGGGAATGGCTTTAAAGGTCATAACCAGCACTTTGAATTGTGCCTGGAAACAGACTGGCAGCCAGTGGGGGGTTGTCCGTTCCCTGCAGCTAGACCCAGTGAGCAACCTGGTTGCAGCTCTTTGGACCAGGTAAAGTTTCTGAGCACCCACATAGAGTGCGTTACAGTAATCCAGATGAGGTGTAACTCCTGGCCACCTCTGACACCTGGGCCTTCAGATTCAGTGCTGAGTCCAGGATGACCCTCAAGCTGCAGGGGGAGCGTAAACCCATCCAGCACAGGCTGGATCCCTATTCCCTGATCTGCCTTCTGACTGGCTAGGATCACCTTGGTCTTGTTTGGATTAAGTTTCAATTTGTTTGCCCTAATCCAGTCCATTACTGATGATAAGCAATGGTTTAGGATCAGGACAGCTTCCTTGGCTTTAGGTGGAAAGGAGTAGAGTATAGTATCATCTGCATATAGGTGGCACCAACCTCTCCCAGCTGTTTCGTGTATATGTTAAACAGCATGGAACCCCGAGGAACCTCACAGGACAACAGCCATGGGTTCGAACAGCAGTCCCACAGCACCACCTTCTGGGTATGGTATTCCAGGAAGGACAGTTTTAAAAACATGGACCCAGTCATGAAATAGATTGCTCTGAAGTTGGGCTCAGTCATGTTGAAACATCTAGTGTTATCTCTCCAGGGTTCCAATTTTATAGTCAACTTCTACTGGAAGCCCTGCTTGATGACCATGGACTTGTACTGGAGGGCTAGAGCAGTGGTTCTCAACCTGTGTGTTCCCAGGTGTTTTGGCCTTCAACTCCCAGAAATCCCAGCCAGTTTACCAGCTGTTAGGATTTCTGGGGGTTGAAGGCCAAAACGTCTGGGGACCCACAGGTTGAGAACCACTGGACTAGAGGGAACACTTCTTAAGGGACTTTCTAGGTCCTTCAGAGCAAAATAGTATGCTTTGGCAGGAAGCACAAGTCATTCTTTAATTTCAGGTAAGACAAACAGGGTTCCAGGTGATGCTAAAACTGTATTATGTGAAAGGCCCTAGAATGGGCCTTCTGTAATTGAATATACTACTTCAGAGTCTTGCAAACACTAAATATTTTATATAACAACAATAGCATGATGAATGTTGCTTTTAAAATTAAGTATTAAAGATAGCTACAGAACAATTACCTTTCCCTTCTTTTCCATAACCCAGAGATGGAGGAATTATTAACTTGCGTTTTTCTCCTATGCACATCTCAGTCAAACCTTTATCCCAGCCTGGGATGACTTCTTTAATACCAAGAGTAAACCATGTAGGTTGGCCATTGTTATGCTTGTGGCTGAAACAAACAGAAACCATGTTATTTTAGTACAAATGAAAGCACAATTCGTTTATTTCAGAATTCCATCTGTAACTAACCACATATGCCCAGGAAACACTTTACCAAAAAGGGCATCTTGTCTTATTTGTCTCTGGTAATCTAAAGAGAAAGTACAAAAACAGGTGGCAATACACATCTTGTCTACAGGAAGACATTTTGATTTTAAAAGTCACTGAAGTTGCAAATATTTCGGACTTCAACTCCCATAAATGCCAGCCAGCAAGGCTCATGGCTTGAGATAATGGTAGTTGTAATCCAAAACATCAAGAAGAAATCACTGCAGAGGGCTCCTGTGCAATGAGAACTTTTAAACAGATGCTGGATTGCCATCTTTCAGAGGTACTTTGATTGTGCTTTTCCTGCACGCAGAGAGTTGGACTAGATGACCATTTGGTCTCTTCTAACTCTGGGCCCTTCCACACAGCCGTATAAACCAGATTATTAAGGCAGACAATCCACAATATTTGCTTTGAACTGGGTTATCTGAGTCGACACTGCCATATATCCCAGTTCAAAGCAGATGATGTGGGATTTTATTCAGCTATGTTGGAAGGGGCCCAGGAGTCTACTGTACTACTTTCTTAGCTTCTTAGGACCTAAATACTATAAAAGCACCAGATGCTGCCTGATCTTGAAAGCTAAGTAAAATAAACCTTCGTTGGTACTTGAATGGGAAACTACCAACCAAACCTGGTGGTGTTGGGCTGTATTTCAGAGAAAGAAACTGGCAAAACTACCTCTAACTATTCCTTGTCTGAGAAAATGCTATGAAATTCATGAGACCACCATTGGTCTCTCACTCTCTCTGTGCACCTTCACAAATTGATGTGAAGGTGCACAGAGAGAGTGAGAGAGCTCTAATCTCCATGACATCTGGGGATCCTGGGACCTGTGATTTAAAAAGGAATTTTTAACACCTTCCAACGAAGGATTCCCCCAGGCAAGAAGTAGCCAGGCTTTGAAGCTGCAAGGCCATTAAATGCTAAACCTAAATGTTTTGGTCCTGAATCGGTGCTTGGCAGCTGTGATGGTCTGGATGAGAGCGAACAAATTGAAATTGGATCCAGACAAGACAGAAGTCCTCCTGGTCAGTCGCAAGGCCGAACAGGGCACAGGGTTACAGCCTGTGCTGGACGAGGTCACACTCTCCCTGAAGACAGAGGTTCACAGCTTGGGAGTGATCCTGAACTCATTGCTGAGCCTGGAACCCCAGGTCTTGGTGGGGCCTAGGGGAGCTTTTGCACAATGAAAACTTGTGCGCCAGTTGCACCTGTAACTTGACAAGTCAGACTGGGCCACGGTGGTCCACGCTCTCTTTTCATCCCAAATAGATTACTGCAACACACTCTACATGGGGTTGCCTTTGAAGAATGTTTGGAAACTTCAACTAGTCCAATGGACAGCAGCCAGGTTGCTCACCAGAGTGGCATACAGAGAGCATACAACCCCTCTGCTACACCAGCTCCACTGGTTGCCAATCTGCTACTGAGCACAATTCAAAGTGCTGGCTTTAGCCTATAAAGCCCTGAATGGTTCTGGCCCAGCTTACCTGTCTGAACGTATCTCCTGCTGTGAACCATCGTGAAGTCTAAGATGGATGGGAGAGGCCCTGCTCTCGATCTCACCATCCTCTAAAGCGCAACTGGTGGAGACGAGAGACAGGGCCTTCTCAGTGGTGGTTCCTCACCTGTGGAACTCTCTACCCAGTGACATTAGATTGGCCCCCTCCCTCTTATCCTTTAGAATGAAACTCAAAATCTGATTATGGGGCCAAGCGTTTGAACAGTAGAGGCAGCAATTGAGAGTAAGACTCAATGTGTGTGAATGACAATGGACTGACCTGGACTATGACTTCAAATTTGCATGATTTGAAAAAATGTTTTAGTAATTTTATATTTTAATTGCTTTTATCATTTATTCTTGTTGTTGGCATTGAATGAATGCCTGTTGTGAAGCACCCTGAATCATAGAATCATAGAATCAAAGAGTTGGAAGAGACCTCATGGGCCATCCAGTCCAACCCCCTGCCAAGAAGCAGGAATACTGCATTCAAATCACCCCTGACAGATGGCCATCCAGCCTCTGTTTAAAAGCCTCGAAAGAAGGAGCCTCCACCACACTCTGGGGCAGAGAGTTCCACTGCTGAACAGCTCTCACAGTCAGGAAGTTCTTCCTCATGTTCAGATGGAATCTCCTTTCTTGTAGTTTGAAGCCATTGTTCCGTGTCCTAGTCTCCAAGGAAGCAGAAAACAAGCTTGCTCCCTCCTCCCTGTGGCTTCCTCTCACATATTTATACATGGCTATCATATCTCCTCTCAGCCTTCAGAATCCCCCTCTGGGGAGAGAAGGATGGGATACAAATATGCAAAATAATTAATAATAAGTAATCAAGGTAGCCAATTGCAACATTCACACCTGCCTCCAACAGATTTCTTTCTCCTACCCTGGGCATTCGACAGATATATAAACCCCACTTGCCTAGATTCCAAGAGACCTCACAACCTCTGAGGAAGCCTGCCATAGATGGGGGTGAAACGTCAGGAGAGAATACTTCTGGGACATGGCCATACAGCCCAGAATACTCACAGCAACCCAAAAAAAGATTGTTCTTTCAGGCTCTAAACTCAAATACTTACACTTTGGGAAAGATACTCACGTGGAATGAAAGAGGGCCCCATCTTTCTCCAGGAAGCCTTCGTAGTGCACCAGCAACATGTCTCCCAGCTTGGTCTTCCTCTTGCAGATGAAGGGCTTCTGGAGCACTTCGGTTTTGACTTCTGGCTCGGGAATCAGCGCTCCAGTCCCCAAAGCCAGGACAGCAAAGGAAAGTAGAGCCCAAAAGGCACCTTTCATCATTTTTACAGTTTATAATGTGCTTTTTTCACTTTAGGAGTCAACTTTTGGCATCAAGAGTATCTCCACACAAAACAACATTCATAGATCTAATAAATCTGTTTATCAGAAAATTTTTAAAAAGTAATTAGATCTGTTTATTAAAATGTTCAGTTAATAAAATAAAAATGCATTAAATTTAAATAAATTCATATATTATATATCATGGATTAAAATTACACATGTTTTCTCTATATGTCAAAATGTTTCATTTTATTTCACAGCAATTCGGGTAAACCTTGCTCTTCGTAGGAATCTTATCCCACTCTCCTTCTCCCATTCCTTAGCCCTGCAGACGTGGCAAACTCCAGCCCCAAAGGAAGGCGAACAAACTCCCCTTGTTTTGATCTATCCATTTATAACCCACCCTTTCCGTTTCCCTCTTTCTGATTGGCTCAGCGGAGATGACCATTCGAAAGAGAGGCTCCCCATTGGCGAAGACAAGTGCTCGTTTTGAGAAAAAGCGGTGATTGGTCGTCTCAACAATCCAGGAAGAGAACGCTTTGGAATCCCTGAACACAATACCCCCGGCTTTCGCCTCGCTGCCAATGGCGGAGCTTGTGGCCACAACGGCGTTCTCATTGGTTCCCGTAGCGTTCTAGCCACGCCCCTTCTCTCCCTCCAGCGGGGAGGTTTGCATTCCCGAATGGGTTTGGTGCAGGCGAGCTGCGTAGCTGCGAGGGATCCCGACTATCTTACGCAACCGGCGTAGCGCTATGTATCTGTGTTGGTTGGTTGGGCCGGATCAGGGGTGGGTAGGGGAGAAGGCGGGGTTGGACTCCTGCCTGGCTCAGGATGGCCCTGGGCTTCGGGACTCCCTAGGCGGCTCCAGGGGGAGAGGCTTCCCCTGTCCCAAGCAGATCTGGATGGGGGCGCCCTTGTCACCATGGAGGGGGTGCTGTACAAGTGGACCAACTATCTGAGCGGTGAGTAGTCCAGCTGAAGATGCGTGTCTGGGAACGTGTGAATGGGGACCAACCCGGGATCTGGTTGTGACCCCCTTTGGTGGGTCCTAAGGGTGCCTCTGCTCTGTAGAATTAATGCAGACTGACGCCATTTGATCTGCCATGGCTCAGTGCTATGGAATGGAGGGAGTTGTAGTTTGGTGAGGCACAGCACTTTTAGGTGCCTCTGCACTGTCAAATTAATGCGGTTTGACAGCACTTAAACCACCCTGGCTCAATGCTGTGGAATCATGGGAGTTGTAGCTTGCTGAGACAACAGCAGAGATAACTAAAGGCCTTGCAAAACTACATCTCTCATGATCTGCAGTGGTTTCAACACCCTTGGTGAACTCTTAGTTAATCTAGTTTAGAATTAATGCATTTTGACTCCGCTTTCACCACTATATATATATATATATTGGAGGCCCTGATGCAGCAGGATAAATTGCTGAGCTGTTGTACTTGCTGACCGAATGGTCAAATACGGGAAGCAGGGTGAGCTCCTGCTGTTAGCCCCAGCTTCTGTCAACCTAGCAGTTCAAAAACATGCAAATGTGAGCATTTATGAGAGCTGGACCTTCGGGAAGGCTGAGCGAAGGAAGAGAGATGCTTTCGAACTGTGTGTTGGAGGAAAGTGCTGAGAGTGCCTTGGACTGCGAGAAGATCCAACCAGTCCATCCTCCAGGAAATAAAGCCCGGCTGCTCATTGGAGGGAAGGAGACTAGAGGGAAAGTTGAAGTACTTTGGCCACATCATGAGGAGACAGCAAAGCCTAGAGAAGACAATTATGCTGGGGAAAGTGGAAGGCAAAAGGAAGAGGGGCCGACCAAGGGCAAGATGGATGGATGGCATCCTTGAAGTGACTGGACTGACCTTGAAGGAGCTGGGGGTGGTGACGCCGACAGGGAGCTCTGGCATGGGCTGGTCCATGAGGTCACGAAGAGTCGGAGACGACTGAACGAATGAACAACAACAACTGTCTCTTGCCGCATATGTTTTGCCGCATATGTGTGTATATATGTGTGTATATTTTTGTGTATATGGATGTTTACGTACATATGTGGTTTTGCGCATGCGTTGTAATGTGGGGTTTTTTTGCTTTTTAAGTCTCTTCTGCCGTGCTTTTCAGTGTTTTGATGAGTGATGGACACTTGTTGGCCTGATAGGTGTATTGTGTCCAAATTTGGTGTCAATTCGTCCAGTGGTTTTTGAGTTATGTTAATCTCACAAACGAACATTACATTTTTATTTATATAGATATATATATAGTAAAAATGTATTGTCGAAGGCTTTCATGGCCGGAATCACTCAGTTCTTGTGGGTTTTTTCGGGCTATATGGCCATGTTCCAGAAGCATTCTCTCCTGATGTTTCGCCTGCATCTATGGCAGGCATCCTCAGAGGTTGCACCTCTGAGGAAGCTTGCCATAGATGCAGGCGAAACGTCAGGAGAAATGCCTCTAGAACATGGCCATATAGCCCGAAAAAACCCACAAGAACTGAGTATATAGTAAAAGTTTTCCCCTGACATAAAGTCCAGTTGTGTTCGACTCTGGTGGTTGGTGCTCATCTCCATTTCTAAGCCAAAGAGCCGGCGTTGTCCGTAGACACCTCCAAGGTCATGTGGCCAGCATGACTGCATGGAGCGCTGTTACCTTCCCGCCAGAGTGGTACCTATTGATCTACTCACATTTGCATGTTTTCGAACTGCTAGGTTGGCAGAAGCTGGGGCTGACAGCGGAAGCTCACACCGCTCCCTGGATTTGAACCTGCAACCTTTTGGTCAACAAGCTTAGCAGGTCAGTGGTTTAACCCACTGCGCCACCGGGGGCTCCCATATATATATCGGGGGCCCTGATGCAGCAGGTTAAACCGCTGAGCTCCTGAACTTGCTGGTCGAAAAGTTGGCGGTTTGAATTTAGGGAGCAGGGTGAGCTCCTGCTGTTAGCCCCAGCTTCTGTCAACCTTGTAGTTCAAAAACATGCAAATGTGAGCATTTATTTATTATTATTTATTTATTTCACGTATTTGTATCCCGTCCTTCTCACCCCCGGAGGGGGACTCAGAGAGGCTTCACAATTCATTCAATGCCAGCAACAGAATAAATGATAAAAGCAATTCAAATATAAAATCACTAAAACATTGTTTAAATCACGCAGGTTTGAAATCATAGTCCAGGTCAGTCCATTGTCATTCACACAAATTGGGTCTCATTCTAAATTGCTGCCTCTACTGTTTGAACACTTGGTCCCATAGTTAGGTTTTGAGTTTTATTCTAAAGGACAAGAAGGAAGGGGCCAATCTAATGTCACTGGGTAGAGAGTTTCACAGGTGAGGGGCCACCACTGAGAAGGCCCTGTCTCTCATCTCCACCAGTCGCGTTTGTGAGGATGGTGGAACCGAGAGCAGAGCCTCTCCCATCGATCTTAGACTTCGCAATGGCTCATAGCAGAAGATATGTTCAGACAGGTAAGCTGAGTAGATTAATAAGTACCACTTGTGGGAAGGTAACAACACTCCATGCAGTCATACTGGCCACATGACCTTGGAGTCATTTAGGTTCAACGCCGGCTCTTCGGCTTAGAAATGGAGATAAATGCCACCCCCCAGAGTTGGACACAGCTAGACTTAATGCCAGGGGAAAAACCCTTTACCTTTACTCTCTCTCTCTCTCTCTCTCTCTCTCTCTCCTATCTTTCTCCCAATGGGGACTCAAGGAGGCTAGCATCTACCCATACTAGCCAAGTTTAAAAAGAGCAATACAAAAGTTAAAAAACAATTATAATAACAGTGTGGCTCAATGCTATAGAATTGCAGAAGTTGTTCTTTCGTAAGTCACCAGTACACTTTCGCAGAAAAGGCGAAAAACCTTGCATACCTACAGCTCTCATGATTCCCTGGCATTGAGCCATGTCAGTCAAAGTGGTATCAAAATCTTAAGCTCTGCAAGGGACAGGACTGATAGGGCAATATAGCAGAGTCCATGCTTTGCATTCAGTTCCTGGTATTTCAAGTTTAACCAGTAGATATGTGATTGGGAGAGGTGCCTGAGGAGAGACTTGCGATAACAACATGTGAAAAGTCTAATCTGTTTTGTGAAATGTGTGAAAAGTCTATAATCTGTTTTGGAGCTTGGGAAAGTGACTTTTGGGTACTACAGTTCCCAGAATCTCTTAGCCATCATGACCACTGATGTATCCCCCAAAGTAACTGTATGGTACAAAGTAAAGTGGGCCTTCAGTATCCACTGCGGACCACCTTGGATACCCAAATCCATGAATATACATGTAAAATAGCAAAAAAAAAAAAAGAGGTTTTTTTTTCAGATTTAAAGATACATATTTTCAAGCTGTGAGTAGTTGATACAGAATACACAAATCCTCAAAATAATAGCCTCGAAATAGCCTCAAAATATGTGCAACTCATCTTTGGAACGGCCCCGGATTATGGTTGAAGATGGTGTGATTTTAATAGTGAATGCAATGTTTTATATGTTTTAATGTGTATTAATTTTAATTTTTAATTTAAGTGTATTTAACTGTTTGTTGTCCAAAGAAATTGAATATTTGCCATTTGTAAAGCCGCCTTGAGTCCCCTTCAGGGTACAGAAAGGCAGGATACAAATAGAGCAAATAAATAAATTAATCCAGAGAGATGATTATAAATACTTTTCTTACCAAGCTGCATCTGGCCACCAGCTCAGTTGGAGAGGAATTTTGTTTTCCTTACAAAGTTAGAGGAATCCTGTGTCGATTGGATGATGCATATAGGCAGTGGACATCTGTTTTGTTCATTCCTATATTTGGTGGTATGCTCCTCTTTAGAAAAGAACAAAGCCCACAAATAGCCGTCATCAATTCAGTAAAGTCCAAAGTTCCTATACATTCTGCTGTGTGGGTGTTTCAGGGTATGTATGGCATGGTGGGTCATGGCACTCCCTTGTGTGTCAAGCACATTCTGTGTTATGGCAGCTATGCCTTAGGAGATCAGACTGCAATAGAAAGAATCACTAGAGGCTTAGGACTTTGACTTAAAACAGATTAGTTTAGCCGTATCAAAAAGAACAAGAAAAATCACCAACCAGCTGCCCTTTAGGATTATGAATATTTATCGCCCACTTCTTAAACTAGTGCCCTCCAGATGTGCTGTCCTACAATTTCCAGACATTTGGAGGGCATCAGGTTGAAGAAGGCAGGCAAACCACAGGGCAGCTTGATCTTTGTTATATGCCAATCCACACACTATAAATCGCCACTTGTCTTGCATGAGTAAATCTGCAAATATAGCTTTCTTCCAATAGATTGTATTAGGATTAAATAGCTATGAACCAAATAGCTTGTCTTAAAAGTAAACTTTATAAAAAGTACTGTACAGTTGTTGCTTACAGCATAGGGCTAATAATATACTTTATTTATTAATATACTTTTTTTATATTCCACCCTATCTCCCCGAGGGGACCCAGGGCGGATTACAGTACACATATATGGCAAATATTCAGTGGCATTATGCAATTAACAAAGACAGATAGTACATAAACAGAGGTAAAGGCTTCCCATCTTTTTCCATCTCCGTCATCTGGAGACTCCAGCCATAGGGTTGGGCGGCGGGGTTGCTGTTTCTCCATCTTCCATGCCGAGGAGCTTTGTTGTCCTTAGATGCTCTCCCAATTGAATCGTCGGCATGTTTGCATGGGCGCCTTTTTAAAATTACCTCCCTGCCAAAACGATACCTATTTATCTACTCACATTGCTGTTTTCGAACTGCTAGGTGAGCAGAAGCTGGCCTGACGGTTGGGAGCTCACCCCAACCCGGGCTTGAACTGTCGACCTTTGATTTTCTGCAGCTGGCGGTTTCTGAAGCTGGCAGTTTAACCCACTGTGCTAAAGTTATGCATGACTGCTCCGAAGCAACCCCTAAACAGTACCATTTACTCCCAATAAATGTATATAGATTTTAAATTTTATACCTGAGGAGTGTACAGTTAGTTGTGTTTTTTGTTTATTGTATTTACCTAAAGGAATTACATTAAGCTAATCTGTATCTTTTTGAAATGTGGTTTATGAATGATATTGTTTTTAATTAGAAGTTGAGTATCCCTTATCCAAAGCACTTGGAACTGTGTTTTATATTGCTGATTATTTCAGATTTCAGAATATTTGCATTTACTTGGATATCTTGGAGATGAGGCCCAAGTCTAAATATGAAATTCATTTGTTTCATTTATATCCCATGCACATAGGTCCTTGTATGCTCAACATTGTTAATATTTCTGTGCATGAAACAATGTTTGTGTACATTGAACCATCAGAAAGCAAAGGCATTGCAGTCTCAGATTTTGGAGTATTTTAGATTTTGTATTATTGGATAAGAGATACTCAATCTGTATTAAAATATTGATAAGCCATTTTTCATACAGATGTTAGGGTGATATACATGATATTTAAAAACATAAAATAATCAAGAAATTAAATATCCATTCACAGACACAAGTCTATGTAAAGAAGACAGTGAATGAATTAGACATTTGTGGATGTCGCTACAAACTTTTCCTTGGCAGTGACATTCTCTCTCTCATACACGCCACTTTTTAAACTGGCTCTAGTCCAATAATGTTTCATCATTATAGAATCTTAGATTCATAGAGTTGGAAGAGACCTCATGGGCCATCCAGTCCAACCCCCTGCTACGAAGCAGGAAAATCTCATTCAAAGCACCCCCGACAGATGGCCATCCAGCCTCTGTTTAAAAGCCTCCAAAGAAGGAGCCTCCACCACACTCTGGGGCAGAGAGTTCCACTGCTGAACAGCTCTCACAGTCAGGAAGTTCTTCCTAATGTTCAGATGGAATCTCCCTTCCTGTAGTTTGAAGCCATTGTTTCGCGTCCTAGTCTCCAGGGCAGCAGAAAACAAGCTTGCTCCCTTCTCCCTATGATTTCCCTGGGTAGCATGACTTTCCTGGACCTAGACACTATGCTCCTATAGTAGCAGTATGATCATCCGGTTTAGACATAAGGGTTGCTTATGTGAATGGGTAGTTTGGAAAGAAGAATCATGCCAATAGATGAATAAGACAGGATATATCACAATGTTTGGCAATTGTTCCATAGCCGTGCTGTGAAATGTCACACAACCAAATGATCTCGTAGTCCTGCTTCTTTATTTCTGTACTATATGTAACTCTATTTGAATCTTGAGTAAATATACTTTGTTCTGTAGATATATTTACATAGTAAACTGAATACAAGCTTACCAAGAATGACTTCAGGAATTCTCGACAATGAAATGTGACAGAACCAGGGAGGCGTGGCAGTTTCTGTTTCACTGCCATGTAAAACACATAAAGAAAAAGAATGAATCAGAATGAGGTGTTGCTTAACCATAGGACAACATTTGGCTTACTTTTAGCCCAGGCCAATAGAAAAACAGAGCTTGGAGGAAGTTGCCATTTTGGACTGCACTTCCCAGAATCATCAACTTACTTGTCCATTATAGGTGTTCTCATACAGAAAAGGAACTTTTACAAGATCTATAAATTATCTTGACACAACATGGACTATTTCAATGCCGGAATTTACACATATGTGTGCACACCTGTGGCAAAAATCCCGGGACCAACAGGTCTATATCTGGACATCTTCTCAAGTCCCTGGGTTTTTTTTGCCCCTGACTAAAGTGCGCAATTTGGTGCTGTCTGGAACCGCCCTCAATCCTATCCGTGTTTCCTCAGAAGTAGGGTCCCTTCAATCTAGTAGGGCTTAATCCCAAGGAAGGGTGCATAGGATTGTGCCAGAAAAAGTTCCCTGAGCCGCACATTAAGCTGAGGTAGTCCTATAGGGATACAAACTTGTCTAGACTGCAGTCTTATAGGCACCTTCCTTGAAATCTTACTATATAATTGAGTCTTCAGATAGACATACAGAGGTTTGCACTAAATTGCTTTACCTGATCAAGATTCAAGCATCTGATCTATAATGGCCAGTTGTTTCATATCGCAGGTGAAGGATTGCGTTGCTATAATTTGCAGGTTATGTTATTAGTAAAAGTTAAAGGTTTCCCCTGACATTAAGTCTAGTTGTGTCTGATGCTAGAGGGTGGTGCTCATCTCCATTTCTAAGCTAAAGAGCCAGCACTGCCCGTAGACACTTCCAAGGTCATGTGGCCAGCATGACTGCATGGAGTGCCATTACGTTCCCGCAGAAGCCGTACCTATTGATCTACTGACATTTGTATGTTTTCGAACAGCTAGGTTGGCAGAAGCTGGGACTAACAGCGGAAGCTCACCCCACTCTCTAGATTCGAACCGCCAACTTTTCAATCAGCAAGTTCAGCAGCCCAGCTGTTTAACCCACTGTGCCACCAGGGGTAGTAGGTTTATATTATAGTAGTTTATTATATATTATATATTGAGTCATCGACAGGCTGAGAAAGGCGCTATGCAAATACAGTAAAATAAATAAATAAATAAATTTATGTATAGATTTCCTGCCATATACAGAATTCCTTTTCATGGTGTCCTGTGAATCATATTTTGATTCATGCTTTTTCTTTTACCTAATCTTTCATTTCCTAGTTTTGTCATTACTAGGGTTTGGAGTGTGCATGATGGTCAGTACAGAGTTTTGCATCCCCTGACATGCTAATAAGTTTCATTCAGTTCTTCAAATAAATAACCCTAACCTTCTATATTGGCAAATTGGCTATTCTATGACTTTTGTACTTTCACAAACTACCACCTGAGGAAGATTCTATGCCAGGGGTTCTCAAACGTTTTGAACAGAGGGCCAGGTCACAGTCCCTCAAACAGTTGAAGGGCCGGATTATGATTTGAAAAAAATGAATGAATTCCTATGTATACTGCACATATCTTATTTGTATTGCAAAAACACTTAAAAATACAATAATTAAAATGAAGAACAGTTTAAACAAATATAAACTTATTAGTATTTCAGTGGGAAGTGTGGGCCTGCTTTTGGCTGATGAGATAGAGTTGTTGTTGTTGTTGTTGTTGTTGTGTGCTTTCAAGTCGTTTCAGACTTAGGTTGACCCTGAGTGAGGGCCGGGTAAATGACCTTGGAGGGCCGTATCTGGCCCCCGGGCCTTAGTTTGAGGAGCCCTGCTCTATATAGTCGAAAACGGTCGTTTAAAAACTTTGGGGTTAAAAAAGACTCACAAACTTTGATGCATAGGATTGGATTTACAATCGGTGATTTATATAGTCCTCCATGTGGTATTGGACTCACAAACCTTGTTTTAAGTAAGATGCCTTCTATGAGTATGTTTGTAATACATTGATCATATCCCTTTGGATATGATCTTTAGGAATCATCTGTTTTTCCCATGTAGGAAGATTTTGGTTAAGAGTGTTGTATTTTGAATCATTGTTAAGTATACTTTCAACTTCGACAAGCTTTGTTTGTATGTTGAATGTTTCATGACTATAGCATATATATGAAAAACATTCTTATGGTTCATATTATTGGATTATATTTTTGTTTATAGTGGCCTCTTGCCTGTGTACTTCGGCGAATCCTTTCTCTGTATTGGAAGGGGCCTATGTCATCCAGCTGTGTTCTTTTTCTTTCCAGGCTGGCAGCCTCGGTGGTTCCTTCTTGCAGGAGGTGTGTTATCCTACTATGACTCACGGGAAGATGCTTGGAAAGGCTGTAAGGGAAGCATCCAAATGGCAGTATGTGAAATTCAAGGTAACTGAAAAAGTCAAGAACTTGTAGTGTGACTTTTCTTTCTTTGTAGGATCCAAACATTGGAAAGTCACTTTTAAATATAATATTCTATTGATAGATACAGTAGGTTGATTTCATGCAGTACAACAATATGATCTCATTACCCATAACTTTTAAAAAGTAAGCCGTTATCACTGTTCATTAAAATTAAAAAAAAATTTTAAAGTATCTTTTTAAATTGCTGGGATGGTTAAAATAATTTGCTGTGGCCTCAGTCTGGTTCTTTCCTTCTCTACCTCTTTCCTTCTTCCCCCCATTTCTGTCCCTTCTACTTTCTCTTCTTCCTTCCTTCTCTACCTCTTACTTTCCTTCCTTCCTTCTCTCCTTCCTTCCTTCCTTCCTTCCTTCCTTCCTTCCTTCCTTCCTTCCTTCCTTCCTTCCTTCCACTCTTCTCTCCATCCTTCCCTATGCCTTTCTTCCCTTCCTTCAGTCTTTCTATCCTTCCTTCCCTTCCTTCCTTCCTTCCTTCCTTCCTTCCTTCCTTCCTTCCTTCCTTCCTTCCTTCCTTCCTTCCTTCCCTCCTTCCAGGGAAGTCATTTTTGTGCATGTGCTGTAACATCTTCTTTGCTTTTTGTGTGTTTTTAAGTCCTTACCATTTTGTTTTTTGGTGTTTTTTGAATGATGGCCACTTGTTGGGTTGGTAGGTATCTTATGGCCAAATTTGGAGTCATTTTGTCCAGTGGTTTTTGACTTATGTTAATCTCACAAACGAACATTACATTTTTATTTATATATATTAGGCCATATATGCCTCGATGATTCCTTAGGTTTTCAGTCAAACTCTGTTGATCTCAGTTCACCCAACAGATAACACACGAGTGGATTTGATTATTCCTGGAGAACAGTGCTTCTATCTGAAATCCAAAAATGCAGCTGATAGACAAAAGTGGTTGGTTGCCCTAGGAACTGCCAAGGCCTGTCTGACGGACATCCGGACCCTCAAAGAAAAAGGCAAGCAGTCTTCATTCCACACTGTAATTCTCAGTTTCTTGTGAAACAACATTTTTAATTTGGTATTTTCAGATTTTTTGTCAGTTATGAAAACGGAATAGCAAACATGTACATTTGACCCTCTGTAGCAATGGATTTTATATCCTCAGATTCAACAAGCCACGGATTTGAGAGTATTAAAAGAAAACCCAAAGGCAACTCTTGAACAAACCCTAGTGGATACCAAGAGCCTACTCTAGTATCACTCAATTAATATCTATGGAACTTCCTTAAACACTTTGGTTCTTTCTAATAGTAATGATTTAGCCATGATATATTATGGTGGTCATATCATATTGATAATAAAAATGATAGACTTTATTCATTCATTAGTTAATTACTGTATATACTCGAGTTTTTCAACCCTTTTAAAGGCGGAAAACTCCCCCCCCCCCCCCCCCCCCCCCCCCCCCCCCGGCTTATACTCGAGTCAAGGTTATTTATTATTTTACTCTTTTATTCTTGTTATTTTCATTGCATGTATTATTTTACTCTACTTATTATTATTATTACATTTATTATTTTTTCTCTATTATTGTCATTATTGCATTTATTATTTTATTCTATTTATTATTTTTATTATGACATGTATTATTTTACTCTTATTATTACATTTATTATTACTCTATTATTATTACTACATTTATGATTACTCTATTATTATTATTACATCTATTATTTTACTCTATTATTACTACATTTATTATTACTCTAATATTACTACATTTATTATTACTCTATTTATTATTATTACATTTATTATTTTACTCTATTATTATTGGAAGGTTACGTAAGCACATTTACATTGAAGAAGGTTAGAATAATGGTTTATCCAGAGTTGGACAGTCTTATCTTAAATTACAGTTTTATGTCAATATTCAAAAACATTTAACCTACTGATTAATGTAATGTTATTGGTATCTATTTTTTATTTTGAATTTTACCAGTAGCTACTGCATTTCCCACCCTCAGCTTATACTCAAGTCAATAAGTTTTCCCGTTTTTTGTGGTAAAAATAGGTGCCTCGGCTTATATTCGGGTTGGCTCATACTCGAGTATATAAATATTAAAACAATGGTTACATATTTACAGCATAAAGTATAGTTAGCCTTTTTAAAAAGTTAACATGCATTTTGACCTGAACGACTTAAGCCAAATTGAAACCTTTTTCATTTTTTAAAATTACATTTATATCTTTATATCCATCTCCCTCCTCCCCATGTTATCCTTCATGGCTGAGTGGAGATGTGAACTTCAGTCTCTCCAGTTCTTCTGTGTCATTTTAAGGACCACATGAAACAGAATAAATCCATATTTTACTAATCTTTTTAGGTAATGAAAGCGGGGTGAGTATAATTTGTTTACCATATTCAGTTAGATAATATGAAAGTAATAGCACTTTTTATAAAAGTGTATTCCATCATACTTTATCACTCCAGAATCCTTCTGATAAGTTTCAGGTAATTCATTGTTAGCAGTGTATAGGTGAGTGAAGTCTATATTTAAACAAGCAAACAAACAAAAAATCAAACATTTTTTTTCCATTCCAGCATAAACCATTCTTTCTCTTTTTAAAAAAGTTGCACATTGTTCTAGAGTCAAAAGTTAATTTAATACATTAAATCACAAGGAAACTTGATGAATGTTAGTTTACCCTATTTCATGTTTTCCCTTTCATATTTATTTTCTAAAATGTCATTTAACACATAAACTTTACAAGTAAATAACCAACACTGAATACATTGCATACTTGGATTAACAGCTATTTAATTGTATGGGTTTAATATAGACTGAATTATAATAAAATAGTGGAACTTTCATCCACTGTAATAGATTGTTTTGACCAGATGCAACTGACCTTTTTTTTTTTTGGTTTTAATGCAGAGTTTTCAGAAAACACGGATGCCTTGAAAACGAAAATGGCAGAACTTCGGTTGTATTGTGACCTCCTCGTTCAGCAAGCAGAAAAAACAAAGGTAAGCGCATTATATAATGTATCAGAAGCTGGGGACATGTGGTGTACAAATATTGTCAAAGGTGCTACAACTGAGGTAATAATATTATTTTTCGTGTCAGGAGCGACTTGAGAAACGGCAAGTCGCTTCTGGTGTGATAGAATTGGCTGGATGTTTTACCATCCTGTGGGAGGCTACTCTCATATCCCCGTATGGGAAGATGGAGCTGACAGACAGGAGCTCACCCTGCTCCCCAGATTTGAACCGCCAACCTTTCAGTCAGCAGTCCTGCTGGCACAAAGGTTTAACCCATTGCACCACCTGGGGCTCCTAATAATAATAATAATAATAATAATAATAATAATAATAATAATAATAGCCCACCACCCCAAAGAGACTCAGGGCAGCTAACAAAGCACTCCAAAGTACCGCACATAAAATAAAAACAATTTCATAGACATCAAAGTGATAAAAACATGAGCAGACATCCATAAAATGTCACATAATAAAATTAAAATTCCAAATTCATAAAATGCAGTCATAACTGTGCATAAAACTGATTGTTTTCTATTAATGAACCCAGTGTCGAATCTACTCAAGGTCAAAGAGTTGTTTTAAAAGCCTTGTTTTTAGACTGGATAAGAAAGCTTGAAGAGGGGGCTAACCTAATCTCTCTAAGGAGGGCATTCCAGAGCTGGGGGTACACCACCAAGAAGGCCCTCTCTCTCATCCCCACCAATTGTACTTGGGACGGTGGTGGGACCAAGAGAAGGGCCTCCCTGGCAGATCTTAGAGCCCCGGGCTGGTTCATAGAAGGAGGTACTTGTGTATATCAATTCTCCAAAAAACAAAACTCACAAATGGGCAGAGAGTTGAATATAATTTTCAATGAGGGCAAGAGTGACAGCAATCCCATGAGACTAGCTTATAAGGGGACAATTTTCATGATATCATTAACATTATGTGATTTGTCAGAGTTTTCTTTTTGGAAATGCCTTTTGTGGAAAGTTAACGTGTTGCATGTGAGGGGTAAAGATGTGGGGATGTGGTGCAAAATGAGATCATTACCGCTCCAAGTGAAAATAAAATGAACATTTCCTCCAGTCCCCAGACATCTAACATTGCAGAGAATGAGACAATTAATATCGTTCATGCCTAGGACTCTTACATTTGCTGTGTTCGCATTCCTTTTGTAAGTTTCCTATTCCTGTTTATTGGAAGCATAAACTCTCTTTCTCAATGTTCAACTGAAGTTTAAGTTACCACAATAATGCAAATATGAAGATTATGGAAGAATTTCGATTGAGGTCAGAAATCTTGTAGAGAGCAGTGCTCTACCTGGACACAGCATATTATTTGAGAACACAGAAATGCTGGACCACTCAAACAACCACCATGTCAGACTACACAGAGAAGCCATTAAAATCCACAAGCATGTGGACAATTTCAATAGAAAGGAGGAAACCATGAAAATGAATAACATCTGGCTACCAGTATTTAAAAAAACTCTAAAATCAGGACAGGAAATAAAGAGGAACACTAAAAAAACAGGGGAAATCTAGATAAGAATCAATCAGGGCCAGTTAACACCTCCCAACAAAGGATTCCCCAGGTAGCAACCAGCCAGGCTTTGAAGTTGCAAGGCCACTCAGTGCTAATCAAGGTAGCCAATTGCAACATTCACACTTTCCTTAAACAGACAAGCGTTTTTCTTTCTCACTCTGGACATTCCACAGATATATAAACCTTGCTTGCGTAGTTTCCAACAGACCTTGCAACCTCTGGGGATGCCTGCCATAGATGTGGATGAAACGTCAGGAGAGAATGCTTCTGGAACATGCCCCTACAGCCTGGAAAACTCACAGCAACCCCAACAATGCTCTATATTGGTATCCTTGTAAAACTTAGCTTTAAAAGAGCTACCTGAGCTTATTCTTGCACTATTGAAAAGGCCCAACTCCTTCTGACTCTACAGTGCTAGGATAAGATCTCTGGGAATATAAAACAACAAGAAGTGTTGAGTTATGAATGAATTATGTAGAGCAGACATGTCTAGGCCTGTACATATTATGCGGTGATAGCTTCTCAGCTGCTTGCTATACTGCTGTGGATATGATGTGTTTTCACTTATTAGGGGCATTTAATTACATTTTATTGTATGGGTTAAGCATTCCTTATCTGGAAAGTGAAATCTGAAATAATTCAGAATCCAAAAATTTCCACACCAGTAGCTGAGATAGTGACAGTTTTGCTTTCTGATGGTTTAGTGTACTCAAACTTCATTTTATGAACAACATTATTCATATATTGTATATAAAATCATCTCCAGGCTGTGCATATATGAAACATAAATGAATTTCATGTTTAGACTTGAGTCCCATCTCCAAGATATCTCATTATGAACATATAATCAAAAATAAGTACAGGCAGGCCCCAAGTTACAAGCATCCAACTTACAAACAACTCATAGTTAAGAATGGGGGTGATACAATAGGAAGTGAGAGAAATCTACTCCTAGGAAGGGAAATTCACTCTCGAAAGAGTTATCATGGGGAAAAGGTGTCTCCACTAAAGCTTTATCACCAATCCTTGTTTCCACGACAAGCCAGATTTCCCAAAATCCAATTATCACAGGGATAGAAAGTGAGGTGAAATCTTCTGAACAGGGGCACAGACAACAAAACGAACACCACAGGGGTGTCAACCCTTTTCTATGCTATCTAAAGATTAACATTTACATAATTTTGGTTGGAGTTACACTTTAAAAATGTACCTGTTTTGACGTACATACAAATTCAACTTAAGAACAAATCTAAAAAAACTATCTTGCTCGTAACCTGGGGACTGTTCCAAAATAATAAAAAAATCTTAAATACTTCTGGTTCCAAACATTTTGGATAAGAGATACTCAGCCTGTATTGCAATATTTATCATTTGCTATGGCTTTTTGCTAAAGTAATAAAATTTTAAATGAATTGCTGTATTATTCTAAAACGTAGTAGGGCTTTTCTCCAACAATTACAATTCAGAGGAGTAAGATTTTCTTCTGTGACAAAGTAGTTCATGGGTAGGGCTGACAGCCATTCAAACATTTTACATCATTGTTTACTTTTTTCTGAAAGAGTGAACCTTGACATAATTTGAGAAGTTGACTTGCTCTTTCCTGTTGCTCAATTAAATGTGAAGTTTAATTGAGCAACTTAAATAAATACCACTAATGAAATGTTTGGTTGTTACTAACATGAGACCAAGAAACAAGACAAGTGGGTCCTCCAGGAAAGTTGTTCATTTCTATAAGTTTGACTTTTATCCATGATTTCCTCTTTACATGGATTCGATGGTTATACTGCAAATATTTTCTCCACTTTTGCAGAATGGAGTCGATACGGGAGCACTGTTGAGAACCACCTGTACTACATTCCTGAAGACCCTTGATGAATGTATGCAAATTGCAAATGTGGCCTTCTCTTCTGAGCTGCTTTATCAGCCACCCTCTGGATCTTCACATTCATCTTTCTACAAATTAAACAAGGTAATCGCAGGCAGCCTTTGAAGCTGCATTATAAGCATCCTTTGCACGAGTGGGCCAGCTGGTTTGAAAGAAGATCTGTTTCAGAAGATATCATTAACTGGCAGACAAAGCTGCTAGATTGCTTCTCTTTGCATTGCATTCAATTTGGGGAACAACATTTTTTAAATAAAAAGTATATATGAAATGGAGGGACCTTGAGCAGTAAGTGACAGACATCCAACATTCAAGCCATATATAAAATATCCTCTAGAAGTACAGATTTAATAAGTGTGAACAGTTGATTAAAAGACATTGCAGTTTTGACAGAGATTTTAAAATTAGTTCTTGACTGCTGTGTTAAGATATATTCCACAGGGGTTTCTTTTCCTCCTACTGTTTCCCAGGTACTTGGGGAAAATGTTCATTCATTGGTTGTGTGCTAGTATGGATTTTCGTGCTATGTAAGTAGATGGCTGCATAATTATGTTGGATTTGTGCAACTGATTGTACAACAAAAACCACATGCCTATGCAAAGTAGGCAATTAACTCCCCAGCAATCTAGAGAAAAGTGTATGAGAGGGATTGCAAAACTGTTGGGTGGAATATTCTGATAAAGTGTAATTATTTGTGCAATTACATATCATATTCTCTCACACACACACGCCCCCCCACAAAAAACAAATACAAACTCTCAAACAAGAATCCCGCAATGTCCCACCCCATTACCCCTCCCCACCAACACGAACAAACACTTCTATTTAAAATATAATAAACAAAAATAAATGAATAAAATAATAAAAATACACACACAAAAAGAACACACATTTAAACAACTGACTCTCTCCCCCCTTTGAACAAAGGCAACTATCAAACTATTACATATACTTCTTGTTCTACATAATTGTTGCATGCTGCCAGTTGCAAGGCAATGCCTTAAATCGCAAAATAATTTCCTAAGATCTACAGAGATACTCACAGGAACATTCCAGCAACTGAGAGTCCAAAAGTGGCAGCTTAAAACCCAGAACCTAAATCAGTGGCTGTATCAGATGTGAAACTTCCTCCTGGGCACACAGAAGACTGGGTGACTTGGAAGGTGCTGAACAGACTGCACTCTGGCACCACAATATGCAGAGCCAATCTTAAGAAATGGGGTTACAAAAGTGGAGTCCATGACATGTGAGTGTGGAGAAGAACAAACCGCAGAGCACCTACTACAATGCAGCCTTAGCCTGCCACATGCACAGTAGAGGACTTTCTTACAGCAACACCAGAGGCGCTTCAAGTGGCCAGCTACTAGTCAAAGGACATTTAGTATAATGCCAAGTTTTTAACTTTGTTTGTGTTTTTAAATACATTACAAATGTATCCTCAATTGGCTTCTGACACAATAAATAAATGCATAATTGTATTTCAGCTTCCACTACATATAAAACAACATATTTGAAATTGAAATGTAACGTTGAGTACTAATCATATCAACAATTTATCTATTTTGGCTAGAATTCACGCTCTTGTTACATCCCGGTTGGATTACTGCAACGCACTCTACGTGGGGTTGCCTTTGAAGACTGCTCGGAAACTTCAACTAGTCCAGCGAGAAGCAGCCAGATTGCTCACCGGAGCGACGTACAGGGAGCATACCACCCCCCTGCTGCGTCAGCTCCACTGGCTGCCGATCCAATTCCGAGCACAATTCAAAGTGCTGGTTTTGACCTACAAAACCCTATACGGTTCCGGCCCAGTGTATTTGTCCGAACGGATCTCCCTCTACATCCCATCTCGAAGCTTAAGATCTTCTGGGGAGGCCCTGCTCTCGACCCGCCACTATCACAAGTGAGGTTGGCGGGGACGAGGAGCAGGGCCTTCTCAGTGGTGGCCCCTCACCTGTGGAACTCACTCCCCGGGGAGATAAGATCAGCGACTTCCCTCTTGACGTTTAGGAAAAAATTGAAGACCTGGATCTGGGACCAAGCCTTTGGTCATTCTGGTAACTAAAGGATCTGATGATAAATAAGGACAGATGGAATGGAATGGACATACGGACTCTGAACACTGAGCATGAGATTGTTTTGCTATTTTTACTATGTACTGATGTTTTTAATTTGTTAACTCTTAAATTGCTTTCTGTATTATTTGTTAGTTAACTCAGGCATCGAATTGTGCCTTCGTCTGCAAGCCGCCCTGAGTCCCCTTTGGGGTGAGAAGGGCGGGGTAAAAGTAATTGAAATAAATAAATAAATAAATTACAGTTCTTATACATTTTAATAACTTCATTGCATTTTATGGTAATGTAGTGCCCTGATAAGACTTTGTCTTAAAGGTATAGTGAAAAGGATATTCTTCATTGATATAAACCTACGTTCTCCTACATAAGGCCTTTTGAATGTATTGGAATCTCATAACCTTCAAGTAATGTAGGAGACTATCATATCTGGAAGGTCGCATAGACTGAGAATGTATAAACTGTAAATAATTTCACTGTGCCATCCTTTCTAAAACAGATACAATATGATCCCCATATCTGCAGGAGATATATTCTTGGATTTTGTGAAACTGCAGATAATAGTGAACCCTATTAAAACAAAGGACCCTGGGATAAGAACATCATAGGAGTATACTGGAGGATATAGGAAATGCCTGGCGGGGCATATTATAATAAACTAACATAATTAGTCCCAAACATAGAATCATAAAGTTGGAAGACACCTCGTGGGCCATCCAGTAACCTTCTGACAAGAAGCAGGAAAATCGCACTCAAAGAACCCCTGACAGATGGCCACCCAGCCTCTGTTTTAAAGCCTCCAAAGAAGGAGCCTCTACCACACTCTGGGGCAGAGAGTTCCACTGCTGAACAGCTCTCACAATTAGGAAGTTCTTCATAATGTTCAGATGGAATCTCCTTTCCTGTAATTTGAAGCCATTGTTCTGCATCCTAATCCCCAGGGCAGCAGAAAACAAGCTTGCTCCCTCCTCCCTATCACTTCCCCTCATATATTTATACATGGCTATCATGTCTCCTCTCAGCCTTCTCTTCTGCAGGCTAAACATGCCCAGCTCTTTAAGCCACTCCTCATAGGGCTTATTCTCCAGACCCTTGAGAGTAGACTATTATATCTGTTGGAACTTACCTATCCATTGACTTATCCTTCAACCTTTAATTCAGTGGGTTTTCTCTAGTAGGAATTAACCAATTTGATTCAGGCTACATTTTTCAAGTGAGTATGGTTTTTACTTCTGCTTAGATTTTTAAATGACTTACTACAGTGTGTTGCTTACTCTGCATTACTAGTGCTAATGAATCATGCCTAGGTTTTTTCCATATTCTTTGTCAGTGTCTTAGATAAGTTACAAAGCTCTAAGATATGTTTTCAACAATTAAATTGTTTTCTTTCTTTTTTTCTTGCAGCTCAAACTTCCCAGCATATTTAGCCGCAGCGTAGCAGAAAGGTACAGCACACTTTTTCATCTGGTTAATAGTGTGGTTTCTCAGAGGCGGACTTTTTCATGGGCCTAGTCCTGTGTCACTCCTAGGAAAGAATAGACAGAAGGCACACAAAGGATGTTGTTGTCGTGTATATCCTGTCAACATCTGAAGCTATCCAGATACTGTAATATTAAAATGATCTAGGGCTGATGTATATTACTGTACAGCAATGGAGGAACACAAGTTCTCAACTCCTGCTTTAAGAAGGAGTATCTTGGGTATCTGAAGGATATTAGAATTCCTGAATTGATGTCATGTTGCAGAGGTAGCAAGGGTCTTCTTCTAGGCCAGTGCTTCTTAAACTGTGGGTCCCTACCCCAAATGGTGTCTCCTATCCCCCAATGTTGGGGTCCCAAAAATTTAGCAACAGTAAAAGATTCCCGAATGCCACCCATTTACACAAATCTGTTAGCAACAACATGCAGTGTTTACAGTGGACTCTGCAGAAGATTCCTCAGCTGTATTCAACAAAAAGGAAAATCGGCCTGTTTAGCATGTCTTGCAAATGCTGATTTTACAAGCAAATGCTTGATTTGTATGCCTATTTTATATACTTATATACATGGGGTCACACTGAAATTTATTGGGAGGAAATGGGCAGCAAATGGAAAAGGTTTAAGAATCCCTGCTTTTGAAGATGGAACAATTCTATTGCTTCTTCTTTCTATAGATCATTATGATGGAGTAAAATCAAAACTCTGTGTATGGTGAACTTTTAAAAACATTGTCTCACTGAGAGGCTATTTGTTAAAGAAGAAAATGGCACTCACGACAGGTAGCCCTGAAGAGCTAGTTGCGTGGGATTTTTTCCTTTTTGAGGAAGCTTCCAGACACTCTGCCCCCACCACTAGATAAGAAAAGAAGACCATCTGTGCAGTTTCCAATCCCGTTAGTGATAGAAGTGCAGAAACCTAGTTTCGCTTGCATAATGCTCTTAGCTATATGAGAATGCTAGTCTATAAGAATGTACATTCCCATTCTAGAGAATATAAAAATGAAGTGTACACACCAACAGTATTCAATTAAAGTGTTTTCCTTGTTGAACAGTTGGGTTTTGTTTCTTTTTGTTTGTTTTTTCTTCCTAGGCAGATGGAACTTAAAAATACTGAAAATGGATATATATATGCAAATGCCAACCTTCCTGAGAAAACCCCTGTACCCCTAAAAACTGGTGAGCAGGACCATGAAAAACATATTACAGGTAAACTACACGAATAATTGTTATCCAAAACTGAAAGGAAGAGATATAGTACTGGGGTTGGCTTGCAACCATGTTCTTTGGAGATGATGGTCTATTCAGTTATTATTCTACCTTAATTTAATGCATTATCCAATACACCATATCTACTTGAATCTAATGCTCACTTTTTTGACTAAGTGACAGTGTCAAAATTGAGGTGTTCATTAGGTTTGATGGTGCATTACAATCATGCATATGCCACTGGACAAGAGATCTTCACTAGGAACAGGAGGGAGAGGTGGTATTGGCCATGAAAAGGCTAGCGGGAAGCTGGGCCCCTCCATCAGGCCTAGTGGGAGGGATGCACCAACATTTTTGTGGCCAGCTTTTCCATGGCCACTGCCACCTTATCACCACCTTATCAACTGTGCCTGATAAGAGGGCACAGTTTTCCATCAGATTTTCACAGCCAACACCGCCTTGCATTACATTTGACAGCAAATTCTTGTCCTATCATACACACTTTCAAGATTGATGTGTGCTTTTCATTCAGTTGTGCATTATACTCGAGTAAATATGGTAATTCGGCAAAAGATGGAAGCAGAGAGTTGCAGAATGAGGTGACAAAGTCTTATCTCTGATCTATTACTGTATGTGCATTTTTATCTCCAAGGTAGGCTAGTATATTTGATTCTCTTTCTGTCCTCAAGTTGCCTCACTTTTGTCTGTGAAGTAAACAAGAGACTGGCCCAAGGGATCTGAACCGGTTTATGCATTCTATCTGATGTTAGGCCACTGGACTGGTTCCACCTTTCAGAGACTTTCACTCTGATCTACAACCTGTCTACCCCCGTCTTTCTCATCGGTACACTTTTCTGGTGGCCATCCAAGCCTTTCCTTTGCCCACTTTCTTTGGAGCTTCCTTATCCAGACCATAGCAATCAGTCTGCTGCCATAGAGAGTGTGCTAGAGATGAAGAGACAGCTCTGAGGTCCAGCTAGGAAGAGAGGCACCTAGAGGGGCACAGCATCCTTTTGAAGGTTCCTTTGGTGCTGTGCTCTATGACTGGGTCTCTGGGTTCTTGGGAACATCTGCATGCATCCTGATTTTTGTCTGGATTTATTTGCTATGGCCCTGTCACTGTAGAGCAGTGGTTTCCAACCTGTGGTTCATGGACTACCAGTGGTCCGCAAGAACTAAAATATGGCCTCACCATTACTACAACAATGCAACAAGAGTGGCTGGTCTCGTAAAACTCTCTTATATTGCCGAGGCTTATTAAATATGGTTTTCTGTGCGTGAGCAGATGGCAACTACTGCAAGGCATATGTTCTGTATCAGAAACTAGAGCTGATGTGGTCTATCCAATGCAATTTTCTGAATCAGCACCCCAAATAACTAAACCGAATCTAAAGTTGACCAAAAAGTTATTTGTAACCCTTTAGTTGGAGAGTGGTCCCTGGTCAAAGTGGTCCCTGGTCAAGTGATTCATGGTCAAGTGGTCCCTGGTCAAAAAAAGGTTGGGAACTACTGCTGTAGAGTGAAAGCACTTGATGAGGAGCCAAGCTCTGAGATGGCCGATGAGGAAAAGGGAGAATTGGAAGATTGAGAGGATGGGCAAAATACAAAAGATGGGATGAGGACAGAATGAGTGTGTAGATGTGAATAGAGGGATGTACGAGTGAATTTGGCAGTGGCAGATTATAAGTCTATCTGTAACATAACATTTCTCAATGCATAATACGTAAGAAATAAAATCTCTTACATTCCTTAAGGAAAAAAAAACCAGAAGCACCTCATCTAATTTCTCATTTTATCATTTTGGGTCCTTTCATTCTAAGATGATAGCAAAAAGGATGGAAAAGACAAGCTGCTGCCAAAAATACCAGATCGAGACAACAAATCTGTAGAACTTGCATCGGATTCCACAGGCAAATCAACACCCCCAGGCGAGGAAACAAACAAGGATTTAATGACGTTCTTCAGTGCTATGAGCATCAGGTAGAGATCTATCTTGATGGTCCAAATGTTAATGCTTCTCCATGTGAGTCGGTGGTCTGAGGCACTAAGGATTGTTTACATGTATGTGATATTGTGCAAACTGGCCTCAAGATAGTTGCTTAACAAGAAGCGTGATCTGTTCCCTAAAAAATTGTCAGAAGTGAATAAAAGACAACATTTGTATTGACATAAGCATATAATAATTGCATTTTATTTGTCACACAATTTATAAAATTTAAAAATTTAAAAAATATTAAAACCTTGACATATGAAATAAAATTATTGAATCTAATGCTTGCCTTGGGTTGTTGTAGGTTTTTTGGTTTGTATGGCCATGTTCTAGAAGCATTCTCAGAGGTTGGCTTCCACAGATGCAGGCAAAATGTCAGGAGAGAATGCTTCTAGAACATGGCCATACAGCCCGAAAAACCTACAATAACCCAGTGATTCTGGCCATGAAAGCCTTCAACAATACAATGCTTGCCTTTTTGGCTAAAATACCTTGCCAAAATTAGGGTGCATATTGGATTTGTATAATACAGTAATCTTAGTGCTTAGTCAAAGCAATAGGAGAAGCTGCTTCAGGATCACCTGGACCTTCTATTTAAGGGATGTCATCTCTAATTTAATTGTCATAGATCAATGCTATGTAATCCTGGGATTTGTAGTTTGGTGAGGCATCTTCACCCCTTGACAGAGAAGTCTCATGGCCTTGTAGAACTACAGCCCCCATGGCTCCATAGCATTGAACTAAGGCAATGAATGTGGATTCATTCTACAGCCTAGATGCACCCCAAGTTTTCTTTCCCATTGCTGAAAGCATTGGTGTTCCAACACAATTGTTTCTAAAGAAGGAATTCCAGGCAGGCAGCAACTGTAATGGACACATCACAAAGAGTGCACCTTTTGTTGATGCACATTAGATTAATCAGCAAATACTTTTTTTTGGTTTCAGGGTTTTGAAAATTGAGATTTAGTAGTGCATTGCATTTCTTTGTAATCCACCTAGAGATGATATAGAGAGAGGTATAATATTTTAATAATTTAATAAAATAAGTAAATAATTTTAATAATTTAATAAAATAAATAAAATGAGCAGAAGAGATGGAGTACTGATAGAAGAAATGAGACAGTAGTATGTTCATGGAAGGGAGCTTTGTGCTTGTGTAAAGAGTAGCAGACTGTGTGGAGCCTCTCCAGAAATATAATAACAAAAGAGTTCCCAGACATTTGGAGGGGACTCACAGATAGAAGAGGCTCTCCGTATGGTCTCTTGTTCTCCAAACTTGCAACAGTGGACAGGTTGCAGCCAACACATTGTGCCTTCTCATGGATTCAGTTTATTTTATTTATTTATTTATTTCGTATACTTCTACCCCGCCCTTCTCAACCCCCGAGGGGGGACTCAGGGCGGCTTACAAAATGGCACAATTCGATGCCTACACAATAATACAATAAACGTATAAAAACAGCAGTTAAATGGTTAAAGAATTAAAACAACAATATATATCACAGTCAATAGCCAATCTCAAGCACAGCGTTCGCCAACTCAGAGTCCATACTTCTTTCCACATTGTCTATTCCTATCTGTCGTCGCAGTCCTTTATTTATCTGCCAGATTGCCCAAACACCTGGTCCCACACCCATGTTTTTAATTTATCCCATTCATGAACACCTGAATAGGTCTGAAATTGTTAATGTATCTGTAAGGCCCTTTGTCTTACCATGGATTTTTCTTATTGTTGGGGAAGATCAGTTGCATAGTTAACTTTGAAATAGGATTCAAATAATTAAATTTAGCCATGTGATTCATTAATTACTCGTATATATTTGAGTATAAGCTGACCCAAATGTAAGCCGAGGCACCTAATTTTGCCACAAAAAAAAAACTGGAAAAACATATTGACTCAAGTATAAGCCGAGGTTGGGAAATTCAGCAGCTACTGGTAAATTTCAAAATAAAAATCGATACCAAAAAAATTACATTAATTGAGGCATCAATCAGTTAAATGTTTTTGAATATTTACATAAAACTGTAATTTAAGATAAGACTGTTCAACTCTGATTAAACCATTATTCTAACCTTATTCAATGTAAGTTACTTACATATCCTTCCAATAATAATAGAGAGTAAAATAATAAATGTAATAATAAGAGAGTAAAATCATGAACTGTAATAGTAACAGTAATAATAGAGTAAAATAATAAATGTGATAAAAACAATATTTATTTATTTATTTACAGTGTTTATATACCGCTTTTCTCACCCCAAGGGTGAGAAATGTAATAATAACAATAATAAATATAGTAAAATAATAAATGAATGATAACAATAGAGTAAAATGATAAATGTAATAATAATAATAATAATAATAACAACAACAGAGTAAAATAATAAGTAACCTTGTCTCGAGTATAAGCCAAGGAGGGCTTTTTCAGCCTAAAAAAGAGCTGAAACACTTGGCTTATACTCAAGTATATACAGTATTATTAATTATTTTTGGAAGTAATTTCCTCTTCCTTCCTTCCTTCCTTCCTTACTTACTTAGGCGATCCCTCGCTTTCCGAGGATGATTGTCTTCCAATATTCTTGTGGGTCTGTATGTGGCTGTGGAGCCCTATTCTTGCTCTGCATCTTCTTCCGCAGTGAGGGCATTGGTTTCCAGGTGGAAGGCGATCTCGGCCGGGGTTGGCTTGATGCGCCTTCCTCTTGGCACGTTTCTCTTTTTCACCCTCCACTTGTGCCTCCTCAAATTCTGCAGCACTGCTGGTCACAGCTGACCTCCAGCTGGAGCGGTCAAGGGCCAGGGCTTCCCAGTTCTCAGTGTCTATGCCAGAGTTTTTAAGGTTGGCTTTGAGCCCATCTTTAAATCTCTTTTCCTGTCCACCAACATTCCGTTTTCCGTTCTTAGTTCGGAGTAGAGCAACTGCTTTGGGAGACGGTGGTCAGGCATCCGGACAACGTGGCCGGCCCAGCGGAGTTGATGTTGGAGGACCATCGCTTCAATGCTGGTGGTCTTTGCTTCTTCCAGCACACTGACGTTTGTCCGCTTGTCTTCCCAAGAGATTTGCAGGATTTTCCGGAGGCAGCACTGATGGAATCGTTCCAGGAGTTGCATGTGACGTCTGTAGACAGTCCACGTCTCACAGGCATAGAGCAGGGTTGGGAGGACAATAGCTTTATAAACAAGCACCTTGGTATCCCTACGGATGTCCCGGTCCTCAAACACTCTCTGCTTCATTCGGAAAAATGCTGCGCTTGCAGAGCTCAGGCGGTGTTGTATTTCGGTGTCGATGTTGACTTTGGTGGAGAGGTGGCTGCCAAGGTAGCGGAAATGATCAACATTTTCTAATGTTACACCATTAAGCTGTATCTCTGGCATTGGAGGGGTTGGCTGGTGCCTGCTGGAAAAGCACCTTGGTTTTTTCAATGTTCAATGACAGGCCGAGCTTCTCGTATGCTTCTGCGAAGGTGTTTAGAGTGGCTTGTAGATCTTCTTCTGAATGCGCACAGACGACGTTGTCATCAGCATACTGGAGTTCTATAACAGATGTTGTTGTAACCTTGGTTTTGGCTTTCAGTCTGCTGAGGTTGAATAGCTTGCCATCTGTCCGATAGATTATTTCCACTCCGGTGGGAAGCTTCCCATCAACAAGGTGAAGTATCATAGCGATGAAGATGGAGAATAGAGTTGGGGCAATAACACATCCCTGTTTGACACCCGATTCCACCTTCAATGGGTCACTTTGGGTCACTCTTCCTAAGGTGATCCTAACCAATTTACCTGTTTTCTTTCTCAAAGATTTAGTGATATTGAGCTTTCTGAAGATGGAGGAATACCAACAGAAGAATTTTTGCGATCTTGTTATGAAATAGTTCCGGTCCTGGGTAGGTGTGCTTTCCTACTGGAATTTGTTATAGAGGGAAATTGCCTGTTTGGATAAATCTTCTTCAATTTTCAAGTCTTCTTATGTTATCTGGATAATGTTTGTGTTTTTTGGAAAATCTTACACTCAGAATGACCCGTGGGTTCAGATGCAATGCCAGGTCAGTTTGTGATGTTTTAAATTCTTGCAGTATCTGAACCCATTCCTTACAAATAATGCTGAACCCCACAGATAAATAACATTGTTAATTACTGCCTTCTTTAAGATACAATTTATTGTTGCACATAAACCTAGAATAAGGATATGTCTGTGGTTTCTGTAGCTGCCTACATCGCAGAAGTGGTTATAACGTGTGGCAGAAAAGCAGATGAGAAATAAAGTCAACAAATTGTGGTCTACATATTTATCTGCAGGGCAATGCAACAAGTTACAGAGAACATATTGTGCAAACACAGCAATAAAACAGCAGAATATTTCAAATTATTCAGCTGGACAGTGCCTCAGTTAAGAATGGACCTCAGATTTTCTGTCTCCCTATTTTGCATCTTGTTAGCTTAATTGATAAAACACCTTTCTGGGCCATGCTCCTGGGCTATTTTTTATAATATAATAAAATATTTTAATAAAAAATTGATACTTTTGCTCCAAACACAATTGACACACAAATTGTTACTGGAAAAAAAACATTGCTGTGTTTCAGATTTACAAATATGGGTTACAGTTTATCACCAACTTGTAGCAACTATAGCATATGTGAACAATGGAATATATAAACTGTAATTGCATATAGACTGGATTACATAAGAATATGGTATCATGATAACTCTGATCTTATCTGAATGGATGCTCTTAAGAAGCCTCCAAACAAACAAATTCATAGCAAATACTTAGTGCTGGAAAAGTTCCATTTTTTTATTTACTCCTCTTACAATCCCCTACTTAGCTTGTCCAATTCTAGAAAATGTAGTCTTTATACAGTAATGCTCTCCCACTTTAGATACATATTATTTGGTGTTAATGTAATAGGATATTTAGATACCTCTCTGTATAAATCTAAGGAATGCCTTGTGAAGATATTTAACCAGACCAGACGGCTTGCTTTTTATGTTCAACATGGCTGTTGGCTCTCCTATAAAGTGCTTCTTTCATCCAAGATTTTGTGGTTCCTTTCAGTTCTGTAACAAGTCATTAAGTTTCCCATTGTCTTGTATTAGGATGTTTGAAACTAGTGACTAAAGCAGACACCAAAGCTTGCAAGCTCTTATGCAAAAATGTTTTATTTTTTCTAGATAAACTCGGATCCACAGTCTTTGCTCCTGTTAAAATGGATTTTGAAGGAAACATCAAGGTAATAGCTTCAATTAAGTCATATTTAGAGTAGAGCCATTGAAGTTAATGGCATGGATCAACAGAAGTGTTCACCCAGCCGAATCCCAAGGGCCTGTCATGCATAATTTAATGTAACATGTCTGATCAGAAACCTTGTAAGTGACAAGGTTGATGGTAGGAGCCTCCTTTAGAGTTATGTATTGAGAACAAAGCACGGAAAATTAGACACCATAGCCATGCTGGCTGAGGGATTCTGGTAATCGAAATAATCATATTTCTAGATCCAAGCAAGATCTAGGTGTGTTTTGAATACAGTTATTCAGTGGTGGGAAGAAAACTTGATGTTTTCAGTAGTCTGGAAGGGACACACATAATCAGCATTGCATTTCTTGAAATCAGTTATTGGTTCATCTTACTTGCAGACCTCGGTTTTTAATTCTGATGACTTAATTCCAGGCAGACATTTGGTCCTGAGGACCTCAAGTTATAGGGAAGTTTCTGTTCGGCGAATGGGCTTATTAACAAATGACCCTCATAAATGTACAGCAGAGTGTCTTATTAGCAGCAACATGACCCAGCACCAGTAACCCAAAGTGATAAAAAACAAAAACATTCAGACCAATATTATCTCTTCCATAGGAGGTTTGAGCAAAATAATATGGTTGCACTATTTACAAGGACAAGGTTTCCATAACACACTTTACACTCCCTTCTTTGCTTCCATGCTGGGCTTCTTTCTTATGCAGATAAAGAGCTTTGCTCTCACGGAGCCTCTTCTCACACTGAAGTTACACAGGAGCTTCACACAGTAGCTTTTTACACACAGCAGATTCACACATGATGGCCTTCAACCTGGGCTTTTCCTCACCAATGCTTCTCACACACCAGACCTACTCACACCTAGGCCTACTAACACTGAGGTGTACCTCACACTGAGGCCTAGTAATACACTGAGGCCGTTCTCCCACAGAGACCTCTCTCAGATGGAGGGCAACTAAGCTACAGGCATACCTGCTTATATTGAACTGTAGCTTTTGCTGAGTCATTGCGTCCATTTAACCCTTTCAGTGCTTGATTCACATTTTTGTAATTAAAAATACCTAGTTTTCATTGTATAAATTCATCCTGGGACCATTCTTGCCACAGACCCTGGCAAGAATGGCCCAAATGCGGCAGAGAGAGATTCCTCTCCCCACCACATTCATCCAAAGTATCACCTTCACATAGTAATCCTGAAAACAGCCAGACATGTACAGTATTCTAAAGGGTTAATGTGTCTATATAATGCCTTGTATAAAATGCAGCAGCAGTTAACATTACAGACCAGCAACATTATTCAATTAAGAGTATCTTGGAATAAGTTGTTCTTTACGGCTCATTTAAAACAAACCAAAGAGAAGTTGATTTTGAGAGTCCATAGTACATGGTTGAAGCCATCACTAAAAAAGCTCTGTCTCTCATATTCATAAGAGCAATGGATCTAGTTGCAGGTATACAAACAAAGTCTTTATTGTCCAATCTTGGAACCCAGACATGTCCAGGCATATTCTTAAAAATAGCATGACCTCAAGCCTTTTAGTATTTTTTAAAGGTACAGCCCCGTATTTTGAATTGGGCTCAGAAATCCATTGTCAATCAGTGCAGCTAGCACAAGCTAGTTGATTGTTGGGGATTTGTTTTGGAGGGAGGCAAACAATCAAGCATTTGCATTAGCTGACTTCAAAAGCAGTTGTATCAAGAGAGCATTCCAGTAGTCTGAATGTAACCAGGGCACTCACAGCTATGTTTTTTTTCTGTATATGACTACAACCCAAAGTAGTTGTGCATTTCCATGGATTGTTATAATCATCTTCTCTGTCCCTTCTAGAAAATCAATCAGAAATACATAACCAGCAAAGATGACTTCAATACCCTTCAGAAACTCATCCTACATGAAGTGAACTCTGGAGACTCGCAAATTCGTAACTCTGCCACAGAGGCCCTCATGTGGCTGAAAAGGTAAATGCCTAGTTTTTGGAGCATGAACAAGATAGAAACTGGTAGCTGATTGCGTCAGTTGGCAGAGATTAATTTTTATCCCAAACAAACACTTTTGTTACTGTTGTGTGCCATCAAATTGTTTCCAATTTATGGTGACGCAAAAGTGAACCTATAAAGCAGCATTTCTCAACCTGGCGGTCGGGACTCCTGGGGGTGGGGTGTCGCAGGGGAGGTGATCTGATGGTCTTAATCAGAAAACACTGTATTTTCTGTTGGTCATGGGGATTCTGTGTGGGAAGTTTGGCACAATGGTGTTCAGAATGCTCTTTGATTGTATGTGAACTATAAATGCCAGCAACTAAAACTCCCAAAGATCAAGGTCTATTTTCCCCACATCTGGGTATATTGAGTATTTGTGCCAAGTTTGGTCCAGATCTATCGTTGTTTGAGTCCACAGTGCTCTCTGGATGTAAGTGAACTACAACTCTAAAACTCAAGGTCAATGCTCACCAAACCCTTCCAGTATTTTCCATTGGTCATGGGAGTTCTGTGTGCCAAGTTTGGTTCAATTCCATCATTGGTGGTTTTCAGAATGCTCTTTGATTGTAGGTTAACTTTAAATCCCAGCATTTACAACTCCCAAATGACAAAATCAATCCCCCCAACCCCACCAATATTCAGATTTAGGCATATTGGGTATTTGTACCAAATTTGGTCCAGTGAATGAAAATACAATCTACATATTAAGATATTTATGTTACGATTCATAACAGTAGCAAAATTACAGTTATGAAGGAGCAACAAAGATAATTTTATGGTTGGGGATCACCACAATATGAGGAACTGTATTAAGGGGTCTTGAAATTAGGGAGGTTAAGAAACACTGCTGTATAGGACCTGGAGCAGAGAATGCACACTCTTAGGAGTGTAACACTTTTTTGGCTAACTATAACTATCACAAACTGGGACAACTTCAGATTTTCTTACTGAGGGATTCTGGGAATTATAATATTTTACCTCATCTGCTCTCTGTGCCAGCCTTCTAGCCTTCAGACCCCGTGACCACTATGCTTCTTTCCAATTGTTGATCATTAATTACTGGGTCAGGTTTTTAAAATAGGACTGTTCTACATATAAACGTACATGATCATTGAGTTGGAAATGCTCTCAAAAGTATTCTAGTCCTACTGACTGCCAATAAAATCTGTGGCTGTATTGTCCATAATATAGAATTAGAAAAGACCTGAAAAAGGATGTTGCAATTGCTTTCTGATTTAAATGTGTGTTTTCATGTAACTACTAAAATCTCACTGTTTTAAACAGGGGCTTGAAATTTTTGAAAGAGTTTTTGACAGAGCTAAAGAATGGAGAAAAGAACATTCAGACAGCACTAAGTAAGTACTTCGTATTTTGTACTTTTTTCCTGGAAAAATACAAAACACAGCACTAAAACTGATGGTGGAGTGGAATATTGTCTTTCCAATTTCTTTGGCTCATATACCAAACTAGATGACAACTTGTAATCACTTCTTCTGGTGTGGGAGAATTGGCCATCTGCAAGGATGTTGCCCAGGGGATGCCTGGATGTTTTTCCATCCTTGTGGGAGGCTTCTCTCATGTCCTTGCATGGGGAGCTGGAGCTGACAGAGGGAGCTCATCTGTGTTGTCCCTGGTTTCGAACCTCCGATCTATCAGTCTTCAGTCCTGCCAGCACAAGGGTTTAACCCATTGTGCCACCGGGGGCTCCAACAGCAACTTGCAATGATCTTGCTTAGAACTGAAATACATCTACATCAAGAAAAATAATGTTCATTTTATTGATACCTGAAACCTATGATGCTTTTAAGCAATATCATTTGTTGTCCAGACAGTAACTTGCTGCTCTCCTGCAACATCATGTAGGATGTCTGTTTTGTTTTTCTCTCTGCTTGCAGATCATGCTTATGGCAGAACGTTAAGGCAGTACCACGGCTGGGTTGTCCGAGGAGTTTTTGCGGTGAGTCAGCCAAGACAGCTTACTGGACCAAGTATTGCAAAGGCAAGGCAGACAACCCACTGTTTCCAAAGCTTGGATGGTTCATACCAACCCAGGTCGGAGGTGCAGTGTCTATGTCAAGCTAAAGGCTTGATTATGAGTGAAGTCAATCTACTCTGTCTTTTAACACAGACTTTAGAGCAGGAGTATCCAAACTTTTGGCTTCCCTGGACCACACTGGAAGGAGAAGAATGGTATTGGGCCACATACAAAATATGCTAACACTAACCATGACTGATGAGCAAAAAAAAAAGTCAATGCATATTTTTTGTAATATCCGCCACCACAGAAAAGCAAAAAAAAAAAGTCTTCTCATAATAATCCTAATTATGCTCTGCTGCCATTTAGAGGATCTTTTAAAATAATCGAGCAGGTCTTCTGGCTGAACTGTTTGCACATATAATGCAAATCATGGATAATACTCTGATATTTATTCCATTCCTTCCATTGTTGTCTACAAAGTTCACACTCAAGTTACAAAAAAAACTTAATGTTTCAGGTAAGCTTACAATGTTGTGTTGGGCCACATTCATAGCTGTCTTCGGCTGCAGGCTGGACAAGCCTGCTTTAGAGGAACTATCCAAAATACTGAAACTATTAGGGAGATAGTGTTTAACATCTTGTATAATGCCTGCTCTGTGTTCTGTCTGAGAATTAACTAAGTGGCTCCAGGAACAGTGGAAGTAGAGGGCTTTGGGTAAACATATCTAAAGACACTTTCATGCTTTTTGCACCAATCTATGCCCAGCCCTTTCTAACTATGATTATGCCCACTATATTTCTGTTCACTGGCTCCTGAGGTTTGTTTTTCTACATTTCAGTGGTGTTTTTATACCCTGCTGTTTTAATTATCGATTTAGAACATTATATTTTTGACTATGTTTTAGCTGTGTTGTTTGCTCTGGGCTCAGTCACCCATTTAAGCTGCCCAAGTCCCTTCGTGGAGATGGTGTCGGGATATAAAAATAAAGTAGTAGTAGTAGTAGTAGTTGTTGTTATTATTATTATTATTATTATTATTATTATTATTATTATTTCATCCCCACTTTGCTTTTGCAACATCCCCTTTTTTGAGCCTAACACAGAGGTGGGAAATTGTGCAAGACCAGGAGTGACTTCTCCCTCCAAGACCTCCATGGTCATCACCCCCAACATCACCCATCCACCCACATGCCTAAATACCACAATTTTCTTCTGCAGTTCCTCCAAAGGCCCATTATCCTGTCACCCATTTTAGGGGCCTACAGAGAAAACATGTATTTAGAGTTAGTACATACACCGTTCTGGGCACTGGAACTATGAGTGTAGATTTATTTGCATGTGTTTTCCTGTACTTGGTGGGCTTTCTGTGGTGTTATTAATCAAAATAACAAACATCAAAGTGGTTTTTTTTAAGTGCGAAGGGGTTGAGGTTATTGGGCTGGGGACTGATGACTTTTGCAGTCACAAAAATGTGGTCCAGGAGCCATAATTTCTCCATCCCTAGTGTAGCAGCTACACATATCCGAAATCACTGATGAACAACAAATAAAAATAGGCAGAAATATCCCACTGCCTACAAGTGTCTCAAGAAGTCAGCAACAATTGTTAACTGCTGTCTCGTTGACTTTAACTTCTGCTGGTCATACAGTATAAACCAAAAAGATCCAATTGCCCTGCTCTGGTCTTTCCGAGACATGGCTTCCCTTTTCCGTTTCCAGTTATACACATCTAACAACTTGTTTGTTTTTAACTTGTCTTATGGACATATTAACAAAAAATCCAAAGAACCATGTTGACGTCGCGTCTTCTTCTTGCAGCTAGCACTGAGGGCATCCCCCACCTATGAAGGCTTTGCGTTGGCACTATCGATTGGAGAACGTAAATATCAGGAAGACACTTTTTATAATAGCATGCAAAGGGACCTTGACATCTACCTACCCGCTATGGAAAAACAGCTCAGCATCTTGGATGCACTGTATGAAGAACATGGGCTGGAATCCAATGAAGTGGTGTGACCACCAGCCAAAACAGTGCCTCTCAAATTCAGGGATTGTGACTGTTAACATAGCTTTTTTTCCCAGAAGTCCATTCTGTTTCTGTGTGTGTTTTTCCATACTTGAGAAGGGACACAAAACTTCCTTTTTTTACATGTTTTTTTTAAAATGCTTGTTTATGTTTAACTGCAAAGGTGCTATATATTCTGGCAACATTTTTTCTACCTTCATAGAAAATACTTTTAGCCAGATATAGTGATATTTACTATGTGGCAACCAATTTGCTGAACAAGCACAGAGTTTAGTACCATTGTGCTGAATTGCTTAGAGCATCTCTGTACCAGAGCTGCAGAGAGTTACTTTTGGGGGCCACAATTTCCAGGATCTCCAATCCAGGTGGCCAGGGGCTTCGCTTGCTAGGGATTTTGGGAGTTTGGGGCCAGAATTCACTTAAGGACATTTGCACATGTAAATATTGCTTACATATTTAGAAGTGCTTTTTGAGGCACTGTTGGGGCTAGTACTTCCTTTCTCTCCATACAACACCTAAAATTCCCTTCCCAACTTACTGCAAGATCTTAAAGCTGTCATTCATTCTTCGGCAGGATCGGAAAGCATGTGTCAATAAAGACAGACACACAATAATTACAGAAGGACTAAAACTTCCAAGGACCTCCCCCAAGTTCTCAGCACTGGCGTCATCATTCTGCACCTTGCTATGCATTCTTCATCTGGATATCCAATCCTGCCTGCTCATTTTGAAGTGTGCAGTGGCTGTGCAATGTGATTTCAGGGCTTTTCCATAAACTAATCTATGGCTCAGGGTAATGTGGATATTCACACTACTCTGAGGGGATATTGACTTGCTCTGTACATAATTTAAGCTTGCTCTGTGATGGTCAGAAAGTTCGTGATTTAGACCAGCAAGTGGAGAATTCAGTTTTGCAACTCAAAATCCAGCCAGTATTTGAAGGCCTCATATCTTATGCAATTCAGTGACTAAGTCTTCCTCAAAAGCAGAATCTAGAGATTATTATCACAACTACCTATATGCATCATTCCTATTTTTGTTATTCTAAATCTAGCTGATCTTCCTAATTAGAGCAGACCCCTTGAATGTTGATTTGCCAGTCTGAAGTTGATTCAATGGGTTTACTAAGGAGCCATGGTAGCGCAGTGAGTTAAACCCTTGTGCCAGGTTCAGCAGTTTGAATCCACGAGACTGGGTGAGCTCCCATCTGTCAGCTCCATCTTTCCATGCGGGGACATGAGAGAAGCCTCCCTCAGAATGGTAACACTTCCGAGCGTCCCCTGGGCAACGTCCTTGCAGACGGCCAATTCGGTTGCACCAAAAGCAACTTGCAGTTTCTCAAGTCACTTCTGACACACAAAAAGGGTTTACTCTAGCTGCAACTAGAAGTTGGAATTAAGTCCAAATGTTGAAAGTGTTGGCTATATTTATCTGCAGTGAGTTTACTTCAGTTTTTAGTAGCTGAAGATCTGTCCTATTTTCTAGCTTGGATTTGCTCTGGCCTCTTGCTTACCCATTGATAATGCATATAGATTAGCAAGAAGGCAGGGACATAATTTGCCATGTGATGTATGGAATCATAAGCAATAGGAGAATGTGCCTGTCTGTCCCAGAATAGTTCAGTGAAGATTATCCTAAACTCTCTGAAGTTAATTTGGTTTGCAATCAATAGAAATAATGTTCAAGTTGAAAGGCTCCATGACTGCAACATTTATCATATTAGTGGAGATTTGACTATATCCTTTATCATTTACCATGCTGGTTGAAACAGATGAGAGCTGTTTTATGTGCTTGTAGACCGTGTCTGAAACGCAAACAGTCCTTTGCCTTATAGAGTCCATCTATACCTCTCTCCACATTTGATTGTCAAAGACTAAATTGAGAACAAAAGTTTTGCTGTGATCTACTATAGCTGAAAGTCCAAAAGTGATTAAATATCACTGGGCTGTTTCTTCCTACTATTTGAAAGTATAGCAGGTGTGTTTAACTAAACCTTAGGGCAGTGGTTCACAATGTTTGATCCTCCAGGTGTTTTGGACTTCACAGTTCCTAACAGTTGATAACCTGGCTGGGATTTCTAGGAGTTGAAGTCCAAAACAGCTGGAGGTCCAAAGGTTGGGACCACAGTCTTAGGTTGAACAGATCTCAGTAAAGCGACACATCAGAATTCAGCTCTGCTTGAAAGGTGAGTAACCAGTATATGAAACAGGGACAAGTGAATCCAGAATTTGTCTTTTGCCATAGTAAAGTTGTGAGGAGGACTTGCATTCAGAAGACTAGTGTGTCATCTTCAGCAGGGCTTCATACCAATATATTGATATTGCCAAAAGCGGGGCAGTCTTTGCTGCCACTTTCTTTTCCCTCGCCAAAACATTGCCATTGTACTCTTTCTTTCTCCATTCTACTGCGTCTTCTGTCTGATTTTCCTTTATTCTGTCCTTGATTCTGATTAACGCTTTGCTTTATGTAAATAGGAGTTGGCTGTTGTATATGGAGAAATGTGGAGGCTTGGGAGAAGATTATTCCAGATAGGAGAATGTTGGAAGCTGTAATAAACAATGCTGGATAATCACACATGGCACAGATAATTGTTTAAGTGTGTCACCCTAGATAGCATAGCCAGTGGTAAGGGATCAGGAGAACCTTGCTCAGCAGGGGAGCCACAGTTATCCATTCTTGATATATGTTACTATGCACACCAGAAGCATCCAGGTAAGCTTATAAATAGTCATCTATTATAGCCAGTCATGTTACCTGAATCTGTCTCAGGGCCAAACTACTGTAAATTCTCAGTTAACTGGCACCTGTGGGGGTTGGTAGAGGCTGGATAAATGTAATTTCTGATTGCTTGAGAGTTACCACTTAAAATAAGCCTAATAGTATATCCCATATTATACCATACCATAAACTCTGTATTGGAGCCCCCAGTGGCGCAATGGGTTAAACCCTTGTGCTGGCAGGACTGCTAATCGATAGGTCAGCAGTTCAAATCTGGGGAGAGTGGGTTGAGCTCTCTCTGTCAGCTCCAGCTCCCCATGCGGAGACATGAGAGAAACCTCCCACAAGGATGGTAAAACATCAAACATCTGAGCATCCTCTAGACAACGTTGTTGCAGACAGCTAGTTCTCTCACACCAAGTTGCTCCTGACATGAAAAACAACAACAACCCCAAAAGCTCTGTATTGACTTGAAACTAATATTGAAATATATTAATTAAAATCAAATGTGCTGCAGAAAATGCCTGTGTACCCCAGATCCATTTGGCTCTGCAAAATGTGGAGCGCATTGTAGACACCTGACCCTGCTGAAGCGCATATTGACAGTGTGTGTTTTATGGCCACTGTGGCAACCAGCTGGCTTCTAACTGCATTATATGATCACTGTAAAAGGGCCCTCTGCCTCCATAGCTAGATGAAAGCTGATATTATCTGTTGAAATGCACTGGGGACCTCCAAGGTGTTGGCAGATGATGTCAGTCTTTGTGACTATGGGGAACATACTCAGATGCTTCTCTGATCCCCCCGCTTCCCCAAAATTTGCCACTGGGTGGTTATTGGGGAGAATGCCACAGTGAAACAGCTTGTTAAGGATGCAGATTTGATAACTGCAGGTAGAGAAAGAGAATACCAGCCTCCACTACAGCTGAATAAAGACTTGGGCATACATTGTACTTGTGCTTGCATATGTCATGAACAGGATGCCAGGAAATGTATCCCTTCCAATTAAGCGTCTTATAGCTAAGGTATCTCAGACTATATTTTGATACTTCTCTAGGTCTTCAAAGCATTTATAAATAAATTATTACATTATCATTCTAGTTGAGGAAATTCCCCATGTCGAACATATGCTAAGCCACACCATCATAAAACAATATTTTTAACAGAATAAAGTGAAAGAGTATTGAAAACGGGGTGTACAATAGCAACAATTCCATGATTTAGACAACCTAAATAAAAAAATTAAAAAACAGTCAAAAGTTTGTGTCTGCTATTCTAAAATTAGTAGGTTAAATAAGTGCACAGGGCCAGCATCCTTTCTATAGGGCTAAATGGCCTATTTGGAGACTTTTGGGTGACTTATGTGATCCCAGCTCCAAATTTTGCTTCCACCCTTGCATTAAAGTAATTTTGGAGTGTTGACTACCATAACATTGCTCATTTGAGGTGCGTCAGGGCATTTTTTTAATCCACTCACAATTCCACTGAGAAAAATCCAAAATGGAAGGTCAATAGCTGTTTGTTTCAGGTCAAATTGTTTGCCAAATTGAATAGATTTGTTAACAATAATTGTTTTAGAGTGGGGTAGGATGAAGAAGTGAAGCCTCCCCATAGTGGGAGGCAGCTTTTTTCTTTTCTGTGGTGGGTCATCCCATTTCCTTCCTTCTACCTCCCCGTGTAGGCAATGAGAGAGAATTAAATAGGCTCTAGGACTGGCTTCTTGAGATGGCAATGTCGACAAAACAAGGGGACTTAGAATTTGGCCGGTTCTTGGCCAGCTCCAAATGCCTCATTTCCCTCAGCATCATTGGACCTACTTTCTGTGGGTGACCTGTCATCCTCACATCTCCCAAGTGCCATTTTACAATTTTGCCTTTATTCCTGCCATGGCATTTGTATCCCCACTCTTAAACTAGCTTTAGGATATGAAGATACTATGCTCTGTACCTTTATTTACTCACATTCTAATATCTCAGTAGCTTCAATAAACTACTCAAAGTTACTAGCTGAGTACATTGCTACTCCTCCTGAATCAAAGTGACATGACCATTTAATATTTATTGTTTTCAACTGCTAGAACTGAAAATTCTCAATAATTTGTAACAGACGTTTGCACTGACCATGTTTTGTTCTATAGGTTCCCTGTTTTCACAATTTCTTTATCACTTTCTCATTCTTTTCCTTGAACGCATTTTCATCTTTATTTGTTGATTGGTCAGCTATTTGCTTTTTCTATGAAAAGACTTGTCAAGGTAGGACTGTGAAAAACATTCACAAATGCATCTTCTTTTGTGATACTGTATGTCGGCTTGTAAGAGCATTCAAACCTTTATCAAACAAAATTATGAAGTGGTGCAGGTATGACACATGGCAATATGGAACCCATTACATGGAGTTTTGGGAAGAGAAAAATCTGGAAATCATCTGATTTTCTGACTCCAAGCTAGCACTTGGTACAGTTACTATAGGAGCCAAAATCCTTAAAATAGCCACTGGCATTCTGGGAGCTATAGTATGAACAGTAACTTTTCCAAGTTCTGGTGTGAGCATTCTGTGTTGTAGTAAAGTGGAATGATAGGAAGTAGGGTGAATTATGTGATGTACAATTGAGGGCCCTTTCAGACAGGCCTTATATCCCAGGATCTAATCCCAGGTTTTCTGTATATCCCAGATTATCTAATCCAGTTTGAAGCAGAAAACCTGGGATTGGATCCTGGGATATAGGGCCTGTCTGGAAGGGCCCTGAGCTTCATCTTCCAAACATGAAGAAAATAGGGTACTGTTCCAATATCCAGGCACAAGCCATAAGGGGGTTCAATAGAGAGAAGGACAGTCCATTTTATGGGGGCTGCGGGTGGGTTGAAGGAGAAAAACCATTTCCCCTGTTTTTCCATTAGGCCCCCACCCATGTCCCCATTATGGAAACAACCTTTGTTTATGATGTGGGAAGTGGGGAGGGGAAATAACCAGTGAAAACAGAGAAAATGGTTTTCCTCCTTCAACTCCCCCACCCCCTGTAAAATGGACTCTAGCACCCCCTTGTGGCCTCCGCCCGGATAACAGAACAGTACCAAATATAGAATTGTATGTCTAGGATCCTGGTACATCACAAATATATGGGTTCCTTTTTAAACTCCTGTAATGAAACAATCTCAGGGATTTCAACAGCAAGGCAAAAATCTAGCAGTTTTTGAAGTCTGTCTTCAAAGTAAAGTCAATTGTTCGTGTAAATGGAATGTAGATCTTGTGAAGGGCATTTCTTTTATAAACAGAGAGACTGTTTATAACAGTGAGAAAATCCCAAAGCAATCAAATGTCAGACTAAAAATCTATTGTTTAATCCCAGCTTCAGACAAGCCCATGGTGTCAATGAGATTTATATAAGTGTTGTCTTTCCAATCAACCATTGAATCAATTGACCTACTGTAGTGATGAATACCAACAACATTCAGGCCCCATTGTATAAATGTTGTGGATATATTTGACTTGGAAAATGTATATATTTGTAATGGAATGTATGTAACATCCGAACATTTTTAAATAGAGGTCCCTCCCATATACACCAATGTCAAAGGTGGTATGTATTGGATTCATTCAATATTTATAGCAGTCCTTTGTTTTAAACACAATTACAAACTGAACCCCAAGAAAATAGTTGCAGATCATATTACCTTAAAATGCCAAAATGTTCAAGATGGGTACACAAATGGGTTACTGTCAGATATAGTCACTATCTTGATATTAAGGTATGACTTTATTTATTTTATGATAGTAAAGCATTTAGGAAAATTACTCCTGATATACTATTTATTGTTATTACACTTCTTGCTAATTTAAACATATTGCCTGACTTTAAAATGTCAAAAATATTTATTCAGTTACTGGCTATGAGTATAATCCAGGGCTGATAAAAATACAGAGGTTTTTCCATTGACCAAAGTGGTGTGTGAAGTGCAATGTACCACTATTGTGGTGGTGATGAAGTAAGTAATAAAAACTCTTTTATTGTCTCTTCGTGGCTTTGTGCACTCAAGTCATTTCTGATTTATCTAATCGTAAGGCAAAGCTATCACAGTCTTTTCTTGGCAAGAGTAATTCACAAGGTGTTTGCCTTTGTCTTCGTCAAAGGCTGAGAGAATATGATTTGTCTAAGTTCACCAGGTGGATTTTATGGCCAAGCAGAGATTTAACCTCTGTTCTCCAGCATCCTACTTCAATGCCAAAAACATTTCAATGCACTGCTGCTTCTATCTATTTCATAGAATCATAGAACCCCAGAACTGGAAGAGACCTTTGGGCCATCCAGTCCAACCTCCTGCCAAGTAGCAGGAAAATCGCATTCAAAGCATCCCCGACAAATGGCCCTCCAGCCTCTGTTTAAAAGCCTCCAAAGAAGGAGCCTCCACCATACTCTGGGGCAGAGAGTTTCACTGTTGAATAGCTCTCACAGTGAGGAAGTTCTTCCTAATGTTCAGGTGGAATCTCCTTTCCTGTAGTTTGAAGCCATTGTTCCACATTCTAGTCTCCAGGGCAGCAGAAAACAAGCCTGCTCCCTCCTCCCTATGACTTCCGTTCACATATTTATACATGGCTATAATGTCTCCTCTCAGTCTTCTCTTCTGAAGGCGAAACATGCCCAGCTCTTTAAGCCACTCCTCATAGGGCTTGTTCTCCAGACCCTTGATCATTTTAGTTGCCCCGTCTGGACACATTTCAGCTTGTCAACATCCCCCTTCAATTGTGGTGACTAGAATTGGACACAGTATTCCAGGTGAGGTCTGACCAAGACAGAATAAAGGGGTAGCATTACTTCCCTGGATCTAGACACTATACTCCTATTTATGTAGGCCAAAA